TTCCACCAGAATCTATTCTTCTTTTTTTTTTCTTTTTTTTTTTGACGCATGGATCATGATCAACACCAAACATTTTCTAACCAGGAATGAATTACATCATCAGATAAACATTACGAGTACTTTAATGACGAAAATAAGGGAGAAATGACAACAATTGGATGCACATGGAATCTGTCAGAAGACACCAACCCATGTGGTACATACAAATCCTTTTTAACTTCATTCCTCGGTGACAAAATTACACATTCCTTTCAACCACCCCCCCATTTGCCTTATTTTTGGTTGTTTCTTCCCCTCTGTGCCTTGTTGCTTTTGAGTTTTCAGGGTCGGGTTAAAATTTGAACTTGAGTTATTTTGAAGAGACTTTTATGAATAAATATTTTTGGGTCTGACCAAAATAATTTTATATTGTAATTTGTAAAGTGAACTGTTTTATGAGATAAAGAAAGTAGTATTTTAATCCATCTTCTAACAAGTAGCAAAAATGATGACCGTGACATGACATTTGTTGTTAATTACATGGTGATGAAGTCACTTTGAGTGCGTACTCGCTAAGTCTTAGATTGATTGTCTTTCTGGATTTACAACTAAAATGTTTTTATTGATCAAGATGAAAATGATTGCGAGAAATGATTGTTGTTGGATCATTTGGGTTGTTTTATTATCGCCCTTTTATCTTTTTATTAAAAAAAAAATTAGAGTTTGTAAGTTGTAACTCCTCGTGAATCAACCAAATTGTATATCTCCTCCAACCTTGAAGGTTTCATCACCATTGTTTTCATTATTATTATTATTATTATTATTATTATTATTATTATTATTATTATTATTATTATTATTATTATTACTACTACTACTCTAGTTATCTCAACACAACAGTATTCAGAACTCTTATTTTGAAAGTTAGCTTGTTATGTGTAACTTGTTTAAAGAATTTTTAGATATTTTTAAAAAACAATATTCAATGCACAAAGTAAGCTAGCAATTCTATACAATTTGTTTGCTACCTTTAGATTAATTGTAAAAAATATATAATATTATGAATAAAACTGTTGAAAGTAAAAATAGAATAACCAAAGGTAAAAGATAAATTTCAAAACCTTGGATTTTCTTTTAAAATATATATATATATATATATATATTTGAAAACCAAAAAAAACATATAAACACGAATATTTTTATAACGCATTTGAATGGAATAATTGAACATTGTGTTAATTTTAGACACCCCCTTCGAAAAAAAAAATCGATTGTGTATATGTAGACCATTAAGAGTATCTAATGGTAGACAATTAATATGTTCTTATTCAAATATTTTCGCTGTCTCAAAATAATAATAAGACAATTGTTATAGTGGAGTACGATTTTTTTTTAAATATTGCGCACGTGTCCTAAGTGCATTGCACTTAGACTAATTCGTATCGAGCCGGATCGGTCTCCTTTTGAAGGAAAAGCTCTCGTAACAATGTTCTTTTCATTCATGAGACTCGAACCCGAAACCTCACTTAAGGGAACCAAAGTAACTTATCATTTTGGCCAAGCAAGTGTTGGTGAGGAGTACGGTTTTTAACATCGATTTGAGATTGAGATTTCATCCCAAACATATTTTGAAATTCTTGTAGATTTCCTAATTTTTCTACCCTAGACTCCGCCAGTTATTTGATTCCCATCTGGTTCATTCTTTATAGTGAATTACAGTACCTATCCATAACTATGATGAAGCTTTTTCTTCATACTGCTTTTTTCATTTTGAGAGATTTTTGGGCGGGTTCTTAGTGTGCTTCTCATCCTCGGTTTGCTGTTACTTGAAGCCAAAACATGGAAGAGACTTTTAGTGCAACTATATGTTGAAAAAAAAGAGAGAGAGAGAGAGAGAGAGAGAGAGAGAGAGAGAAGAAATCCATCGCCTTTAAAATGGTAATCAAAACTCCACAAACAGGATGACTTCTTTTCCTAATGAGATTGAGTTCTTAAGAAACATGATAGTAGTATTATATTCTTTCGTAACATAAGATACTCCATTTATATAATGCATAAACGCATACATGAAACCTCTCCAAGTGCCGGAAAAAAAAACCGCTAATTCCTAACGTTGGATTTCATGAAGGAGTTTGAAGTTTTAACCATCAGAGATGCAGTTCAGAAAATATTTACGTAAAGACAAGTTAGTTAAAGTGTTAAACGCTGATTTTACTTCATCAAATTTTCAAACTCATTATGATTAATGAATTAATAAATTATACTCCCTCTGTCCAACAAAAATAATTCACATTAAATTTTGAGTTTTGTACTGTTTTTAATACAAATTTAAAAACCCAATGTAGATTATTTTTTTTTGTTGGGACGGAGGTAGTAATTTCAAAAGGTGATGATGTTGCACGAATGAGTATGGCCTGAGGAAAAAAAAAAAAAAAAACTGTTGTATTTTTGTATTTGTGAAATTGCCCTTAAATAGTGGGGAAAAAAGTGGTGACCAAAAACATTAGTGGGACCATGGGGCATCCATCTTTTATTTTCAATGTTTAAAAATTATTTTATAAAGAGACAACTTGTAAAATTAACAATTCTACCTTTCTTGCTACTGTCGGTGGCATTATACACACTACGGGAATTATTAACCATTTCGTATACTGACACATTGACAGTTTATTAGTTGTTAATCTCAGTCCAATTTTAATTAACAACAAATACAGCAATCATTATGGATTCAGGTGCACGTAATTTCCTAGCTACACCCTCGACTTTTAACAAAGATCGGTCCATAATTATGTTGTTTATCAACTTTTTTGGCTGAGTTTTATGTCCCGAAGGCTCATTAGGAGCTCCATCAATGCCCTGATTAAGTACCCCTAGTCTTGCTTTTTCATAGTAATCTTTCATCTTAAAATGATTATTTTAACTTCTGATTATTCAGAACAAATTATTTTAGGATAGATGAAGTATTAAAATAAAAACCAAGCAATCTCAACCCATCTCTTGAGGGATGATTATTGATTGAAACAGTTCTATTATTAATAATACTTTAACCATGATTCTACTTTTGTTTGCTAATGAAATGAAGATGCTTCTTGTAGGCTTAAACTAAAGCTTTGAAAATAAACGAAATGATTACTCCTTTAATCATGGTGCAAATCATGGCTTCCATCTCCCCCACTAAGAGTAAAACTAATGATTTTGGGTTAGAACTCATTGTTAGAGTTAGATCATGAATAAAATATTTCCTCATAAAAAATAATCCAACTTACTATAATAAACAGTTTCTAATGTGGATTATTTGTGAAAGACAAAAGAGAATATAAGGATACCAAATTACAAGGTCCAAAATTGTGTTAGGACAACTAAATTAAAAACAAAACTGAAATCAAATAAATAGCATTGTTTTTTGTTATTACAAATCGTTGGTCGAAAAAAGACTCAAGAGTCTTATTAATTTTTCTATTTTAAATACATATACCACGATTTTTTTTATCTATTATTTTTTTATATTCAATCACCAAAAAAAATATATTGCAATTGGACATGTCGCCCTACAAAAATGCCACACAAACAAAAGAGATCTTGGAATTAAATTCAGAAAACAGCATGCATTAATTATATGGTACATTTGAAGCACTTATGCAACAGGGAGGAACACCAAAATCTTTTCTTTACTCCATACTTTTCATGTCTAGGTTCTGTAAATACAAAACTCTTTTAAACGTAACTTTTATTTTGGGAGATGAGGAGTACTCTATATGTATAGCAAACAATCAAGAGAAATAATAATAATAATAATAATAATAATAATAATAATAATAATAATCTCTTACGAAATATGTATGCGTAAAGATTTTATTTTTTAAGTCCTTAGTCAAAATCTCTCCAAATACGACATTTTTTTCTTTTGTATAACGAGCTGTAATTACATTGCATTTTTTGCAATTAAAAGTGAGAGCTTAACTACTCTCACACATGCACATAATGCCTAAAAATTGAGCATTGATAACAATGCCTATAACGAATATGATGCAAATGAGGAAAAATAATCACAAAACCAAAAGTAATTGAAGGCATGAAGATCCTAAATACCGAACTTGATAATTACATTGCATACCTACTTATGTATCGTTGTTTTTAATGGCCGTTCATCGACAGACTAAAGTTTTTTTTTTCTTAAGGAACTATGATTTTATTATAGTTGTAACTCAGTTCCACTAAACCTCAAGAACCATAGTGTCTATTTAATTATATGGTTTAGATATCATTTTCAATCAAGAAAACAAAAGGATATTGAAAACTACAATACGCAGCAAATGGAATGTTTTGAGACATCATGTTCGAATACAAATGTAAAAAGGATTTAAATATTTTTGTTGAATTGTTATCACTACAAGACGAAGATTCAAAATTTCATTTGGGACTGTCGATGATAACAATTATTGTTCTCTCTGTCTCAAAATAATAATTAATATTAAATTTTAAAACTTAATATGAACTGTAATTTTTTTTATATCAAAAGAAGAAGATTGTGTTGATAAGGAACAATATCAGATGTGGCTGTATCTTATGATTTAAAAAAAGAAAATATTATTAACACAACTAGGATGTGAAAAGAGGGACTAATATGGTGAAAAAAGTTGAAGAAAAGATATCTATAGTTGGATGAAGTGATGAAAAGTTTATCATGTCTTATAATTAAATATAAGTCTCCAGTTTGAGATTATAGTTTGTACATACACTTGACAAATAAGTATAATAGTTGGAAATATTTGTTTTGGTCTCCAAACCTGTCTAGTCCATTGCATTGAAACAATGATTAGTCTTATTACGATAAACATCCCTTATGTTTCTTCTCCAATTTTTATTCCACTTTTTTCCCCCTTTAATTGCGTTTGTAACACACTTTTGAAAAAAGTATCCATATAAACTAGTACTAAATTGAATTCCAAAAAAAATTAATCAGACAAAGAAATGGTCCCTATATATTTCTTTTTTGGGGGAATAATATAAAATACTGCCCACGTGTCGAAACCTAGCCTAGATTACATGAAATCGATGATGGTTGAAAAATCGGTGTGCACCTCAGAATCATTCCAGAGATCTCACAATCTGTTCTTCTTCTTTCTAATCCCCATCAGTCCACACATATATTTATATAAACCTCAGCCCCCAACAAAACAAAAAATACTACTATCTCCCACACCACAAATCTTTCCCCCCCTTCAATTTCTCAATCAATGTTGTAGAATAAGGGAAGGAAGCAAAACTATAGTAATTATTATATAGACTTACCCAAAAAAAAATAAAAAATAAAAAATTCCAGTCTCACACAGTCACACACTCGCAGAAAACACACTCTTTTCTCTCTCTCTCTCCGGGGTTCAGTTCAGCCACTAAACACAGGCTGGACTCTAGTCACTCTACAAAACGTTACACATTAACAAAAAGTACGTCTTCCTTTAGCTTCTTTTTTTTCCCCCTTGTTACATTTCTTGTTCTTCTTGCTCATTACTTATTCTCTCTCTCTCTCTCCTTTTTCTCTCGTTTTAATACTTGTATATTATATTTAGTTCCTTTTTCTAGTTTCCAGATCTAGCATTCTTGGTATCAAGTTTTTTTTTTTTTCCTTCAAGAATGACCGACAGAGTCTACCCTTCCGGCAAGCCTAATGGCACCGCCGCCGCGACCACCGGCGCCACGAATCCAGCGGCCGCCACCAACCCGCCGCAATTCCCACCGCCGAAATCCCAGCTGTACAATCCCATGCGCCATCCCTACCGCCCAAACCCGGCTCTCCACGCGCGGCACAACCACCGTAGATGCAGTTGCCGCCGCTGCTTCTGCCTCTGCTGCTTCTGGTCCGTACTCGTCTTCCTCATCCTGCTCCTCCTCCTCGCCATCGCCGGCGCCGCCCTGTACGTCCTCTACCGGCCCCACCGACCGGCTTTCTCCATCTCCTCACTGAAGCTCTCCACCTTTAATCTCACCACCAGCGCCGACGACACCACCAGAATCACCACCAAGCTCAACTTCACGCTTTCCTCCAAGAATCCCAACAAGAAGATCACCTTTTACTACAACCCCATCTCCATAAATCTGTACTCGTCCCAAGTCCTGATTGCGAATGGGACGTTCACGAACTTCACGAGCCCGCCCGGTGACGTCAACATCGCCCACTCCATCCTGGGGATGACGTCAGAGGTGTTGGATGTGGACTCGGTGAAGTCGCTCCGGTCAGATCTGAAGCGGCGGAATGGGCTTCCGATGAGGATTGAGATGGAGACGAAGATGAAGGTGAAAGTGGAGAAGCTCAACAGCAAGAAAGTTGGGATCAAAATCGTCTGTGACGGGGTTCACGGGATGGTTCCCAAAGGCAACTCCACGGCGGTGGCTTCCAGTAATAATGCCAAGTGTAAGGTTGATTTGAAGATCAAGATTTGGAAATTCAATTTCTAATTCTTTTTTTTTTTTTTGTTTTTTACTAATTTGATCAACCAAACACTCATCAGTTCTCTATACGGTTCGATTTCTCGATTCAATTACTCCGGCTTGATTTTTGATTCAATCCTTGCTTAATTAACCTTTTTTTTTTTTTTTGGGAAAACTTTCTTGAAGAAAAGAAGTGTTTTTTTTTTTATCTTTAAAATTTTCCTTTTGGGGTTTGTTTATAGTATTTTTATATAGGTGGATTTAGTAAAACAGAGAGGGAAAAAGAAAGAGAGAAACAGGAATGTTGGGATGGATGATGATTCAGAAAGTTTGAGGGCTTCCTAGAATTTAGAAGAAAACGAGAGGTTGTAATAGAAAAATGTAATACCTTTATTAGTTGGAGAACTCAAATGCAAAATCTGCTAATTATTCCAGCATAGATGACTTCTTCTTTTTCTTCTGTCTCGTTCATGTTCTTTTGGATGATTTCTTATTTTTGCACTACTACTACCACTAGTACTAGCTTGTCAATGTTGATGCAATTCGTTAAGATTTATGTTGTTGTCTTCTGCATGGTTTTTTAAGTCAATATTTCTGTAACTGGGAATTTGCATGTGCTGTCTTGGAGGTTGGGAGATTGGGAACCGTGATTTCTTAATATGGAACAAACAAAAGTGAAATTGTTGAATTTCAGAAACTGCCTACAATTTCAAAGTTGTCAATTTTTTTTGTGGGATTGTTGTTTTGCACATGCTACATCCCGCTAATTGATCACGGTGTTTTACTTTTAGCGTCTTTATTAGCATCATCAAGTTTTGAAGAAAGGAATTCGAGATTCATGTTGAACTATATCCCGCCATTTTATTCTTATTTCTTTGGTTTATTATTGTGCTAGTTGAACTCAACGAGCCAGTTCTGCTCGAAACTGGAATTGCGTCAGGAGTCAACCCTTGGGATTTGATCAAAAGATTATTTTGATTCCCGCTAAAATGATTTTGGAAATATTGGCACAGTTTAATATCAATTGTCAAACTCTATCACCTACTATTGCATTGATTCATCATGCTTTTTATGTCCATTATTAGTTCACTTGTGTATTTTTGCTCAGTTTAAAGTGTGTACTTCAAATTTATTGTTTTTTTTTTTCCTGGAAAGTTTCAAGTTTGATGTCAGCCCTTGAAGGAAAATGGGAATATTGTATTGTACTCCCGCATTGCAAAAAAAAATACTAAATCAATTTAGACATAAAATCTCCTCCCCAACCTAGGCTAGCTAGTAGTAGCTAGTTAGCTTTGGCTAGGTGGGGAAGTCGAATTAGTCCCTCCAGTTCTTAACTTCTTATCTGTCTAGGCTTTTTATCTATTGATGGACTCTGGTCCAGTGAACTGCTGCTATTAATGGTATCACTTAAAATTTAAGGAAAATTGCTCGGAAATGTTTGCCATAATTGGAAGAACATTCGCCATGATGATGATCTATACACGAAGCAATTTTATTTTTATTTTTTGTATTTATTGCGTTATGAATGATTCTATCTGTTTTGTTAATATTATAGGCTATAAAATTGAAGTGTTTACTTGTAATCTTTAGCAAAATTATTTTATTTCACCAAGCTTGACAACAATTTTAAGATGAACAATTATTTTATAAATTTTGATTGTGTTTGTACGCTTTCTAATTTTTCATTAATACATTTTATATTTTTAATCTATTTATCATACTATAATATTTAAAAAAATAAAACTCACACTATCATCGAGTAATTGTATTTTAAATGTGTAGAATTTCTTAGAGAACTAGCTAGATTTGTTTAAATTTGGGGGGCCCGAAACTTTAACAGCTAATTGTTTGCGTGCGCCTTTGCTTCCATGCCTAGTGGACGGTGGGCTATATAGCTAGCTGGATATAGTTCAGCAATTTTTTGTACTACGTAGGATGGGGATGCATCTTCTTCTAGTCTTCTAATCTAAACATAATGATAAGTTCAGTTCTATTTATTTCCAAAAACAAAAAGAAAAGTTCAATGCAATATTTATTATTTTTTTTAAAAGAAAAAAAAATCTACCCAGTGGACTCTACTTAATTGTGCGTAAAACCCCCTTTGCAACCCCTGGTGGGAATCAAACCCTGATCTATTACCAGGAAAGACAACAACCTAACCATTAGGCTGTCATTCAATTCTCAAGCAATATTTGGTTGATTATCTATCAACTTTCTTTTTTTCATTTTTTTTTCCCTATAATGTTACTCTATCGTTCTCAGAAAAATAAATCTATTATATTGAAACTATTTTATTTTTTTTTTTTCGCTACAGAAAAAGTATAATATTATTATTTTTTTTGGTACAATAAAAGAGGCTAAATGCCTAATATCCTAAACTAATAATAAAGATAAAAAGAAATTCCTTGATCTTTTTCCCTTTGCAATCAATATAAGAGACAATGATGCATTTTCCAAACGTATCCCTATTTTGCTGCTTTTGGATATATCGACGAATTTTTCATAGAAGTCCGTAACACTTTCAGTCATGATATCTCAAAAGTTACTTGAAACTGTCGATCCCAAAATCCTTATTTGAACACTTGATTGTAAGATTCTCACGTTGCAAGTGATGATATGAGACAATGTTGTCCTTGTTCAAAATAATTATACAGCTAATAGTTCTATTATTAGTCAATAAAAAGAATAATTATTTAAGGACGAAAAGGATTGTCATTTGAGAATTAATATGGAGATTATTATACACAAGATTGTATCGGTCAAGACTCAAGAAACTTATAAAAGGGTCATGGCAGGGCACTATTTGTAAAAGTACCAGAACTCGGGGGGCATATAGAACTTAGATGTAACAGTACGAGAGTCTACATATTGCCCTTAAACAAAGCAACAGCTACTCCATTTGCTTAAAATTTGTGAGCAGAACCTCTAACTGTGGGGTGGATTTTGGCAAGAGTAAAAGGATAGTCTTATGGCCTACATGGGCTTTCTTTTTGGATTCAATTAAGTAGGCTTAAAATGATTTGGGCAAGGAGTTTCTGTAAGCCCACATCAAACAATATTTCAACGTCAGATTGAGTTTGGCATTCCTCAATCTTGGAGTTGTATAATTGAAGCTGGGCTTCAAATATCCCCAAGGTCTTTTTCATTTTGTGGAACAGAAGATCTCCCCAAATTTATTTTGCCCTTAACAGGCAAATTCACGTCTACACAAACAAGCTTTTGATTGTGGGATGGTTGCTATTCTCCATGAAAGATGAAAATGGGACGAAGAAAATATCACTTAATGCAAATGAATGCATTGAACAAGAAGTAATCATGCGAGAAGATTGCTCTTAATTTGAAGAAAAAGGGAGACTATTTCCACCCTACATATCTTAGTTTACGTTTTCTACTTGAAGTTCAATATAAATTTGATAAACTTAAATTTGAGAAGAAGTTTTGTATGGTTCATGTTCCAGTAGGCATGCAAAGATACAACTACTACTTATATAATTATGTATTTTTTTAGGAAAAAAAGAAAAATAGTATAAATTCTTATTATCATACAATGACATCATAATAAATTTTATTTTATTTTTTAAAAAAATTGGATGGCTCCAGCGATCGAATCCTCAACCTCTTGGTAATAACCATCTGTCAACCTAATCTCCTAACCACCTACCCAACCTCCCACCCCGACATTAGATTAATAAATAAGCATGATAATAATAATAATAATAATAAAAAACTTCAAAGATCAAATAGTTCAATATTTAAATATTTGAATTTAAAAAATTGAAATAAGCAATATGAAACGGATGAAAAAAAAGTTTATCGAAACATGTAGGGACCCAAATGAGTTAAATAATAGTGTGAAACTTGACTTGGGGAAACAGGGAAAGCGATGGCCATGCGTTCAAGTTATTCTCCAACTCTCTCATGCAGACATCATGCTGAATTGGCGCCAATATGAGGCTCCTATTGCACGGGGAAAATCAAAGCTCCGGCCATCTCCAGGCCGCGTTGGCCGCTGGCGCGCCCGTACGATGTCGATTCGGACCCGTGAATGCGAGCGTACCCACTTCATGTTTTTTGAATCTAAATTTTTTCTTACCGTTGTTATTATGTTTAACCTAATTAATTACTTCTTCAAACATAAGTGTAATGTGACGGATTTTATATTTGTCAAATACGTGAAAACCCCCCAACACACCTGTTTATTCTTGTCTATGATGATCACACAATCAAGTACTTACTTATACGATTGTTTTGAAATTTTACTTCTTTTTTGAAGTTTATGAATTTAGTTTACGAGTATACACACATCCACACCTACAATATACACACGACGGAGTCTTATATAGAGCACGAGTATAGGTACATATGTTGATGCCCACTAAAACAAGACTTAAACATTTTGTCTTACTTCATTTGTTCCAAAATTATTGTCCACTTTGAGATTTCACTTTTAGTACAATTTGAACTAGAAATGAAAACTCAAACTGGACAATAATTATGGGACGGAGGGAGTATTATTTAGCATACACTAAAAGTCTGAAACAGTTTTAATGAGTATTTTTTCTTTTCTTTTTCTTGCAATCATTGATGAGTGTTGTCGTATTGTTTTAGAGTACGGTGCTAGCTAGCTAGCTATAGCAACAAGTTATTTATACGGGAACCAACCTTAGATAATGCACATCTTAATAGCAATGAAAAATTGTAGTTAAGGTGGTTGTAGGAATTGAAGATATACAGTCACAGAGGATAAACATATAGTATTAATACCAGTCTTTTTTTAGTAGAATAAATGCGGGTCCACGCTTCCCATAACCTTTTGTAGTACTAAATTACTAATCTTTATAGTCTATCCATAATCGGAAAAATAAATTTTATCTGATAAAAATCAAAATTAGATGTAGCTGAAATAACTAAGATATATTTTTGCTCATAGGTTAGGAACAAAACTAGTCTATTCTAGTTTCAGCTCAATCATGACCATTAAATTTGGGCGTACAATTATTAGAGATTTAGAAAGTGAAATATGTTGTATATTGATTGAGTTAATTAAAAAAGAAAAAGAAAATACCTTTCTTAATTTATGTTATTTTTTCTGGAAAATATAGAAGTATTGTTTTAGTTTAACAAAACTGTTTATTTTCTTTAAGAACGGAATAAGTAATAAGAAGGGTCCAGCAAACTTGTCCTAATGTTGCTATCAATCTCAATTCTCCGGCAAACGCCTCCTTATAGCTGGAGACAACTTTTAATTGCAACTTCAGGTAAGTTGTTGCGGTAGTCATTTGGATTTTGGACCCAAAAACTGAAAAAAAAATATATGGTGTAAATTAAATAGGTACCCATCGGATCGTGCGCTTGTGTGTTTCATTTTCAGCAATCTCTTTTGTAATTTTTGTTTTCTTCACGTTCTACTTTGTACAGTACATATTGATATTACTACTGCTTCCCTTCCGTTTTAGTTTGGTATGTGAAAAACTTTTACTGTGGGGAATAAAAAAACTTTTTTACATATATTGCAAGTAAGAATTCATGTTTGATGAATTCAAGCGTCACAAAAACAAGAGGTATAAAGGTCTGAAGACATGCAGATAACACTGACAGGGAAAATATTTTGGAGTTAAAAAAAAAGAAAAAGATTATAATGTAGAACTAAATATAGTTTAATCAATAGTTTGAACTATTAAATTTTAATTTTGTTTGCATGATAATTAGAGTAATCGGTTTTGAATCATTAATAAATCGCAATACCATACAAGTTTTTTCGAAATAAAAATTTAAATTGAACGATAACAATGTTTGCCATGGAAAGGAGTGGAACTTCTTGGATTAGTAAATTAAACGAGTTTGGTTGGTCATAATTTTAGGCATAGTGGCGCGAAATGCAAATGCGCAAAAGGCGGAAGAAAGGTAGACTACCGACGGGGAATGGGAATAGTGGCGTAGCAGTATAAGAATGGCTGATAATCAAACAACGTCCATGGGGACGGAATCTATATCAATAATTCACATATATTTGGCCATCAATGGGGTAAAAGTAGTGGGTCAAGTTAACTATTGATTCGACTTTAAGGGTATGTTTATTTCGTTTTTTTAATGTGTGTTTTTAGATATTTTTTGTATTAGAAATGTAAAAAAATGTATTGGAAATGTAAAAATGTATGCGGTGATAAAACAATTATTATTAAAATAAAATAAAAAACCATCCAAAAAACCAAACAAACAGAGCCTAAACTTGGGCGTAAATATGTATGGAGTAATCAAATAATCAATTCAGAAACTTTTCTTTTTGATAGAAACCTTTGGTTTCAGATTTAAATTAATCAGAAAAATGAATATGTAACATTTAAAAGAAAAAAAAAAAAGACTGATTTTGCTTTTGCGCACCAAACTTCATTAATCAATCATTGGGGTTTTTAAGACATACGACAGATATAAAAACAAAAAGACAATAAAGTAAAAAGACGAAGAAGCAAATAACTATTATAATTAATTATTACTATTGTTAACTATCTTAATCATCCATGTAATGTTATGATGATGACCAATGCGCTGGAATCTGTTTAGACACGTTTCCCGTTGCTTTTCAGGCTTTCTTTTCCTTTTCTTTTTATTTTTTAAAAAAGTACCTGTATATTAGATTAAAAAAAATGAATGAGCTATTACATTGCATTCTACTATATACTAAATTATGTAATTCTTGAACATCATGTCTACTTGCTTTTAATAGAGTACATGATTGAAATTGAGAAATTAACTGGCGCAGCCGGTTCATTACTTCTCGGGCCTCCATCGGAAAATTTGAGATTCGTTGAGTCTTGATAATGGTTTCACAGTTTGTGTACGCCACTATCTTTTGTAAGTCAAAAGACCAGGCCTCTTGGAGCGCAAATAAACACTTCAGTGCCTCAGTTTGGCTAGCTGACAAAGCACTGATTGGGCACTGATTTGATTTGCATGAGTAAGCCAGAGGGGGATACTATTTTCCATGCTTCGGCCGCATTCCTTGTTGTAGGATGAAAGGAACCATCAAGATGTATTTGAGCGTGATCAGCCAGAGGAATAGTGGGAGAAGATCGATGTGCTGATGAAGGTTGATGAGTCGAAGTGGAAGCAAAACGTAGTACATGATTGTGCTAACGAAATTCATCCTGAATGATCCTCCATGTTATGACTGGATCCGTCACATGGGAGCGCCAAATTCTATCATTTCGTTCCATTCAAATTCTTCTACAAATAATGAGGAATAAGTCCACATCTTCTTTGGAAGGGAAGGACTGAATCCAGTTGATGTACCAATCCATCAAGGAAATATGGTTGCTATTAAGGTTAGACTGGAATTGAGGATATGCAAAACTCCATATTGCCTGGGAGATTGGACAGTTAAAAAACAGATGTGTGTTGTCCTCCACCTGTGTAAAGCATCTCGGGTACATTAAATTCACCCCAATCCCTCTTTTGTTAAGAGCTTCTTTTGTTGGCAGAGCATTGAGAGCAGCTCTCCAAAACAGATACTTACGTTTGGATGAGACTCTAGAATTCCATAGATTTTTCCAGGCTTCAACATGGTGATGTTGTTGCTGGTTTTCAGAGGTGTGGTGTAGAAGGTCCTCATTGAGTGCTGTATGATATCCTGACTTCACAGTATAATTACCAGTTGGCGTGTTGGACCAGAGGAGTTTGTCCTTGGCTCCAATGTTCAGAGGATCCACATGAATTCTAGTGATGTAAGGAATAACAGAATCATGGAAGAGGGTCCTATGAAATGTAACCTTCCATTGACCATTGGCCCGAGTAAGATCACTTACCTTTAAGTTGGAATGTATAGCCAAAAAGGAATTTGGTAAGATCGGATTTTGGTGTTGTGGGATTCAGTCATCAGCGATGTGGATTTCCCGACCTGAGACAACTTTCTACTTGATATGATGCTTCAGCAGATTGGCTCCCCAGAGTACACTTTTATATCCCCTGGTAGCATTCGTTGGGTTTTTTCTTGGAGGGAAAGGCTCTGTGGAACAATACTTGGCTCCGTAGAGTTTTGATATCAGGGATTCAGGTTGAGAAATGATCTTCTAAGCATGTTTTGCTAATAAAGCTTGGTTAAATTCCTTTGTGGCTTTCAAACCAAGACCACCATGAAATAATGATTTGCTTATGTGTTTCCACGATCTCCAGTGAATGGTTTTGGATTGTTTATCACCTTGCCAAATAAAGTTACCAATAATGTTGTCTGCCTTCTTTAGTGTAGCAGCTGGAAGCTTGAACACCCCCATGAGATAGACTAACATAGCAAACAGAGTAGACTTTGCCAGGGTAACCCTTCTAGCAAAACTAAGTAATTTGGTCTTCCAATCAGTGAATTTATTTGTTAATCTGGTGGTGAAATCCCTGAATAGGATAGTCTCTTTTTCTTTAAAATCCAAGGAGAGTCCAAGATATTTGCTGTGGAAATCGCCTTCTGGAATTTGGTGGTGGAGTACATTTGAGCTATGATGGAGGGTGTAATGTTAGCACTGATAAAGATAGAGGACTTATGGTAGTTGATCTTCTGACCAGAAAAGGCTGCATATGTTTCAATCAACCCTGAAAGTGCTTGGACAGAGGATTCAGTGCATTCAATAAAAAATAAACTGTCAAAGCAGCATACATTAGATGACTGATCCTTGGTGCATTCCTACTGATTTTGATCCCCAAACCTGGAAAAGAGCGGATCTCTGATCTTATGGCTGAAGAGAGGACCTGTTGACATAGGATGAAAAGATAAGAAGAGAGAAGGTAACCCTGTTTGAAACCCCGTATTGGATTGAAGAATGGTAATGCCTCACTATTAAACTGTATGGAGTAGGAAACTGTTGTAACATAGAATATGATGAGTTTGATCATGATGAGTGGAAAACCAACTTTAGTAAGGACTGCCTCCAGGAATTGCCATGAAACCCTATCATAGGCTTTACTCATATCCAGTTTTATAGCATCCAGTCCTAAGTTTCCCTCTTTTTTCCTGATGTGCTCTATAACCTCATGAGCCAGGAGGATGCTTTCACTGATATTTTTCCCTGGGACAAAACCGTTCTAGTGTTCATCAATAAGATCAGTGATAACTGATTTCAGTCTATTGGTGATCATCTTGGTGATGATTTTGTACTTCACATTACAGGGACTGATGGGCTTAAAGTCTAATGGGGCAGAAACATCAACTCTCTTTGGAATGAGCACCATATTGATCTAGTTCCATTCCAGAGGGAAACACTGATGGTTTATTTCTTCTAGGATGGTACTCTCCACATCAGGGCCAATGGATGTTTTATATTTTTTGCAAAATCCAACAGGTATGCCATATGGTCCTGGAGCTTTCCATGAAGACATTTGAGAGACTGCTGCCCATAACTCAACAGCAGTGAAAGGTTGTGCTATCAGTGAGACCTGGTCAGGAGTTAAAGTCTCTTGTACTGCATCCAGTAATTGATCTTGAAAAAGAGACAGAATAGGATTGGGTGAAGAACTATTATGGACATTATAAATGTCTTTAAAATGGTGCTGTATAAGATCAGTAGTCTGGTCAGGTTCTTGAAGCCATTGGCCCTCTGTGTTTCTCAACTCATTAATCCATTTCACACCTTTTCTCCTTGTTGTCCATTTGTGGAAAAATTTTGTATTGCGAGCACCTTGAACTGGCCAGATCAGCTTTGACTGCTGTTGCCAGTAATCATTTTGGTGTTGCAGTGCTTCATCTAATTCCACTTGTTTTTGTTCAAGGAGAGAAGTTAGCTGGTGATCTTGTGGATTGTCTTCCCATTGAATTTGTAGTGTAGACAGTTGAGCTGTGAGTTTGTTCACTAGCTTGTCTAAGCTACCAAAGCTTGCCTTACTCCAATTGTGAAGACTTATGAGACTAGATTGCAGTTGATGAGATAACTTTTCCTGTTGATTAGGCAGTTGTAAAGTACATTGAGTCCAAGCAGTGTGAACCAACTCTTGGGATTTTGGACAATTAGACCAGAATTGTTCAAATTTTGGTCGTTTCCTTGGCTTTTTCTTCTTATCTTAAATCTGGACCAAGATTGGTGCGTGATCAGAGATCATGATAGGTAAGGTCCTGATAATTACTTTGTTGAAGAATGTAAACCACTGCCTATTAACAAAAGCCCTATCAAGTCTTTCAAAAATCAACTCGTGGTGGCATCTTTTGTTAGACCAAGTGTACCAACAGCCAATACTACTGAGTTCTTCCAAACCATTCTGATTCAGGAACTGTTGTATGGATCTTGTGTCCTGATCTAAAACTGGCCTTCCTCCTAATTTATCTTCTTGACTAATTACCTGATTGAAGTCACCAAGAATGATCATCGGGTAGTTGAAATGGCTGAGGCTGGTATTCAATTGTGTCCAAAATGCTGCCCTTCCTGATCTAGAAGGCAAGCTATACAACAAAACACCTATCCATTCTAAGCTAGAGGGTTCACAGACCCTTACTACTAAAGCATTTGAGGAGTGTTGGACTATAGTAAGCTTTACTCCATCTAACCAAAATAAAGCAAGACCGCCACTAAAGTCTACAGAATCCTGAGCAAAAGAGTTTGTAAAACAGGTGCTTTGCTGCCATTGTTCAAGAGTACTACTACTAGCACGAGTTTCCATTAAAAATAAAATACTAGGTTTATAAGTTCTACATAGCCTACTTAAATAGAGCTTTGTAGAAGCATTGTTAATGCCTATACAATTCCAGGACAAAATACTAATATTGGTGAAGGCGGTTGATTTGGCTCAACCACCGCAAAACACTCCAGAGTCTCAACAAGACCTTGTGCACTGCCTCCTTGCAGTTGAGAGTAAGTCTTGGAGTTGTCATTGGAAACTTTCTTCTTTCTTGGCCTTTCTTCACCTACTTCTAATTTTGCAAAACCTCTCTTCTTGGTGTCTGAAGAAACATCAGAATCCGACTGGAATTCAAAATCTTTTTCCACTCGCATATGCCATGGACCTTGGGTGGGAGCAGAAGATCTTGGTGAATACTTCTTGGACTTCTTTGTCCTCTTTTTTTGGTGAACTTTTGATTGTCTACAGTGGCGTAACTTGTCATGAGTCCTCACAGAGCTGGGGCTGATATCCGTATCAGAGAGACATTTGCAGACCTTCATCATATTTGACTCCACACTGGCTTCAGTGTCCTCTTCATCATCATCCTCTAGTAGGGCTGCTGCCATGGACTACCCATACCTGTGGGGACTGGGACTGGAGGTTGTCTAGGCATCAACTACTATATGCTGGATTCTGCCAGTTCTGAGATGCTTATTTGCTTTGCCATAAGAGGAAGAGTAATAAACCACCGCCGCCATAAAGGGATCTACAACAACTTGTGAAGCTAGGGGGACTACTGGACTATCAATGCTATATCCTGATTGGGAAAGGGGGGAATCAACCTCCTCTTCCACGTCTATTACAGAGGTTTTAGTGGAATCAGACAAGATAATCTCTCGCACATAACTTGGGGAATCGTTGTTAATAGGATAAGGGGGTAATCAGGGACATTACGGACAAAGATACTGGGAATAAAATCTCTACTATCTACCAAATCCTATGGGGGGAGGGATCTGTGGGATGTGATAGAATGATTCAGGCATTTCAACATCAGAGTAATCACCTGGCATTATATGGTGGAAATTTTGAGTATCAAACTGAGAAGGAGTAGAATGAAAAGTACCTTCAGACTGAGTGTCAGAAATGTCATTGGGAGGATGAGCCATTGCTGCTGGTGCTGCGTAACAGCCATTTGTATAAAAACTGTTATCCCGAACACCATTCTGCACTACATGCGGATTAGCTGGAGCATTATCATCACTAAGATAATCATCAGGGTGATAATCCATATGTCCATTGTCACCAGCGTTTGGCTCGCCATTGTCATGCTGATCTTCAGGGTCAATGTGGTCATCATTGTTTTCATCAGCACCATCATCATCATCTTCTGGACTATTCCATGGATGCCATGCAACCGGCTCAGGCTCATCCACTTCAGTGATCTGGAAACCATCTTGAATGAAGTGATTAGGCACAGATTCATAATAAGAATACATATGCAAGTACTTATCTTCCCTTATTCTGGAACATCTCTTCTTCTTGTGACCATGGGCTCTCATCGCAGCCGTGAACATTGGCCTATTAGCATCAACTAACAGAGGGGAGTTGTGCTTCACTGCTTTCTCCATAAAATACTTATTTAAGTATTGATTCAACTCCTCATCATCATGCTTGGAACAACGCTACATCCGATGTCCCAATCGACCACAACGATGACAAATTTTGTGAACACATTCATACTTGCAATGGATCCGGCCCAGTTTGCCATTTCTTTTGGTGTAATGAAAGGTGGGCGCGAGTGGATTTCCAGGTTCCACCCAAACCTTGGCCCGGATATAAGTAGCCTTCTGGAGCGAGACACAATCTTCTTTGAGGATAGCAATTTCCCCAATCCGTTCTGTAAGACCCCTTGCTGCCAAATAGTTGAGGGAGGTGATGAATAGCACCATGCATGCGTGCCCAGAGACTGAGTTTGGTGATGCAGATGCTGTCCAAACTGATATCCTCATCATCATAACATCGATGGAGGACAAGGAGACCACCATTAACTGCATATGGCCCGTTGTTAAGAACTGTAAGCAGATTTGCCCGAGAAATAAATTTGATGATGAAGAAGTTCCTATCATAGTGAAGTACACGAGAGTACATTGGCCAGTGATTCGTTATATATCACTGCATCTGAAACATCAGTGACTTCCTGGTCATCAAAGAGATATCCCAGAAGAGACAATCGGAGATTATCTCGGAACAATCGAGTATTTTCCTCTGTAAGCATGAAGTTTTCAGATCTCAAGTGTGGATCGGTAATAAACTGAGGATGAACTTCAGTATCCGGATTAAAGTCATATTCTTCTTCAGAATAGTCATCCCCTTGTACAGACAAAGCTGTAACAGAGTCATCATCCATTGCATGCCGGAAACTCATGCTGGATCTAGGTGAAAACAAAGGAAAAATAGAGAGAATGCAGAGAACAAAGAAAGTATATGGATGAACAACCTGAGGAAAGTAGAACACTTGTCAGAAGAAAGAGAAGAAGGAAATGAAATCGATGGAGGAAATACTTAAGAAAAAGATTGGAAAAGGCAGCAGTAAAGGAAGCGAACTTTTCGGATTCCGTTGAAAATGCGGCTCAAGGAGTTTGAAAGTTGCCTTTAAGAATAGAAGATTTTGGGACTTGCTTTTATGAACTGGGAAAAGGAATCTGATTCCTAGAGACAACAAACAAACAAAAGGAGAGAATAAAGGAATTTTTTAGGTGTTTTAGAAGTTAAAGGAAACATGAGTCCAATATTGTAGATCTGATCAAGGGATTCAGGGGTTTTAACTAACTAAAGATAGTGGAGATTTTATTGTATGTTGTCCAAATGGCAACAAGTCTATCCAGAAGCTGCCATGTAGTCCATAACAGCCGGAAAACAACATGCATGGGGATTAAAGGGGAAACCGGGGGCTAATTGAGTTGTTTTAGAGGAGCGTGTTTTGTGATAGTGGTATAGAAAAAAAGACCTTTTTCACAAGGAAAAAGAGAGGACTTTCTCTCTCTTGGTTTTAGAAAGAGAAATGGTTAAAACGTGTTGCATCTGATGGGAAAGAGAGTCGACTTCCTTTCCTTATTTTGATGGAGTACATTAATCGAAAGTCTGTAAAAATTTTATTTAATTTTCTATACAATCAACATTATTCATTTGCTCTCTCTTTCTTTTAAGGGTCGTAATATTTAAATTACGTCTCCGAGTATCTTACGAAACATGTTTCTTTAACAGGTAAAAATACATTGTTATTTTAAAAAAAAACAAAAAAAACCTTAAAGATACATAAGTGTGATAATCAGTACTATTTCTGAAATGAAATGACTCCATCCTTATTCAAGATTTTGGAAAAAAAAACTATACCCTGTAAAATGAATAAGATAATTATTTATAAACTGAAGAAACATACTACATAGCCTGTGGATCATAGGATCAGGTAGTATTTTTGAGAAGGATGAAGTAAAAAAAATTATTGAAACTCGAAAGTCCAGACATTGTAAATCAGTAGTAGAGACAGTAATCATCGTGCTTTGTGAAAAAGTTTCATGACATTCACCAAATGTTGAAAATGAGGAATCAAAAAACGAATTCCCCAATTTTCCCGATCATGAATAAAATCAATCCCCTGATATCAACTTTAACGCGGCTCTGTCTTTTCTCCCAAATTTATTTGGGTTTACGGGGCCCCAACAGCAAACACACCCCGACCCCACCACTGAAACCACCACAGTCAAAGTAACCCAGAAAAATAAAAAATTAATTAAAAGACTTTTTATTTGGCAGCATTTGCCACGTCATTTTCCAGATGTCTGAATTACCAACGGCTAGATCTCCTCCATGTCATCCCAAAAGAATCCATTCTCTTTATTCCTCCCCTTTTTAAAAAAAGAACGATTCCATTTTTCACACACAGTCACACACCAGAGAACAAAAAAAATGGTGGAAGTAGTTGTTGGACTTGGGAGTGGAACACAGTCAAGCTGCCGGATTCTACTTTTACTTCTGTTTGCCTTCTTGTTCTTTTCCTCTTCTTCGTTTTCTATCTCTGTTTCAGATGGCAATTGGGTTGATAATGATGATGCTTCCATTTTGTTAGCTTTCAAATCTTCTTCCGATTCTGCAAATTCACTGAATTCATGGTCCAATTCCACCACTTCCAGCTTCTGTTCTGCATGGCTCGGGGTCACGTGCAACCCGACGACTCTCCGGGTCACGAAGCTGGCTCTCGACAACTTGAACTTAACCGGGTCGGCCCAGATTCTGTCCCGGCTCAGTCATCTCCGGCACCTGAGCCTCCACCACAACCACCTCTCCGTCACCCCCAATTTCACGACCACCTGGCCTAACCTTAAGCACCTTTACCTCTCTCATAACCACTTCACCGGCGAGTTCCCTCCCGGCATTTCCAATCTCCGAAACCTCCGCCGCCTCGACCTTTCCTACAATGACTTTTCCGGCGAAATACCGGTCGCCGAGTTGAGTCGCCTGGCTCACTTGCTCACTCTCCGGCTCGAATCCAACTGGTTCAACGGTTCCCTCGGTTCAGGCAATTCGTCTCTGAAGTCACTGTTGGACTTCAATGTCTCCGACAATGGGCTCTCCGGAAGGATCCCAATTTGGCTGTCGAAGTTTCCCGCCTCTTCGTTCGCTGGAAATTCCCATCTTTGCGGCAAGCCATTGCTATCTGACTGTTCACTAAAACCAGAGATACCCAACCCGAATGCCGGAAGGGGGCCGTTACCCATCGGAGTCACCGACGTGAAAAAGAAAAAGGGATCCAAGAACATAACCCTTCTGATGATCATTCTGATAGATGCGATCGGACTAACGCTAATTCTTTCCGTGATTGCATGCTGTTGTTATTACAAGAGGAGACACAGTCGCAAAAACAGAGAAGCGAAGAAGAAACCGACAACGGGGACAACCACCGGGAGAGCGTACAGTACTCCGATTGGCACCACCCGGGCCCACGCCGGAGGGGAAATGGTCTGTTTTGAGGGATGCAAGGGATTTACCAAGGTGGATGAGTTGTTGAAAGCTTCAGCTGAGATGTTGGGAAAAGGAAACGTGGGGACCACTTATAGGGTGGCGCTGGACCAGGGTGAGGTGGTGGTGGTCAAGAGGGTCCGGGAGAAAGTATGGAGGATTAAAGATGTGGATGGGTTCTTGAATGAGATTGGGAAATTAAGGCACCCAAATGTTGTTAGCCTCAGAGCCTATTATTCTTCCAAGGAGGAGCTGCTTTTGGTCTATGATTATCTCCAGAATGGGAGCCTTCACAATCTCTTGCATGGTATGTTCTTACCCTTAAGTTTTGCATTCATTAATTTAGTATGACATTGTGTATGGATCTCACATTGCCCTTTTGATTCGTGTTAGGAGCGCTAATTAGGTCATTTTGATGCGTGTTAGTGCTAATCAGATCGTGTTTAGTGTTTTTTAATGTTTGATGCTTGTTAGGAGGGGTCATCAGTCAACCAAGTTGTTAGAAATGGCCATTACCGTATAATTAAGAATAGTAATTTTGATTCGAGTGGGCAAACTTGACAAAGATCGCAAATTTTGTGGTGTGATCGTGTTACTCGTGACATAAATTAGTCACGTTCTAGTGTTAATTAAATTTAAACGTGTAATCTTTGTGATATAGATTTAAGTTAGTGTCATGTTTCCAGGCTGAACTTAAATGTTTGTTAATCGAGTATGAAATGTTGCAGGAAATCGCGGACCTGGAAGAACGCCTCTAGATTGGCCTGCGAGATTGAAAATTGCATTAGGATCTGCAGGAGGCCTTGCTTTTCTGCATGGGTATCGAACAAAATCGAAGCTCTACCATGGGCATTTCACATCATCAAACGTAATCATAGACGATCAGGGAAATCCATGCATCTCTAACATTGGCTTGCACCAATTACTGCAAGTTCAATCCTCCACGAACAATGCTTACAAAGCTCCAGAATTGCTTCCGGCAAACCATGCTGCCGGTAGTAAGTACTCGCAGAAGTGCGATGTTTACAGTTTCGGGGTGGTTTTGTTGGAGATTCTGACCGGAAAAATGGCAACAAGTGAAGGGGAAACAAGTTTGGTGAAGTGGGTTCAGCGTGTTGCTCGTGAGGAATGGACGTGGGACGTGTTTGATTTCGAGCTGGTGAGACATAAAGAGATGGAAGAGGAAATGATGGCATTGTTGGAAGTAGCAATTCTTTGCTTGGCTTCATCCCCAAAAGATCGTCCCAAAATGATTGCTGTGCAGAAGATGATTCAAGACATAACAACAAAAAGGGGAGAGGGAATTAGGCCTTTTTCTCTTTGAATTTAGGTTCAAAACTATGCTTTAATTTTTAAGTTCAAACTCAGACAATTGAATTCTCATGTGTGTATAAAGATAGGATTGTTTTTTCTATTTGTTTTGTCCTCTGTAGTTTGCTTACTCTCCCTTTCGGATTTTTCCTATGCCTTATAATTAAGATCAGAGGAATCTCATTGTGGTATTGAAGAGGACTCCTTGTCATTTCAACGACAAACAAAACCAAACATTTTGAAGATTAGGGGACCTCATGAAGTTTTGTCTTTGTAACAACCATCTTAAACCCACTTGTGGCTAATGCGCAACAGACATTTCCTTCGTAATGTGAAAAAGTCGCAATACGTTGGGACGATCTTTGATGTACATTCAATAATAAATATATGATGAAGGGCCAGGCTCACCAAATTCCAGGACAAAGTTAACAATTAGTTTATTGATTGTACATGACTGATAAGAGATTTGCATTATAGATTTATATGATTTGAAGTCATTAGACAAGTGAACTCTTAAGTACATCTGTAGGTGGGCGGCACATAAAGGGTAGAATGACAAAATGGAGAGTCCTGGTGTTATTTTTAGAACTCAACACATAACTAAACAAAAAAAAAAAAAAAAGATAGAGAAAAGAATTCAACACAAGAACTTGGATTTTCCAATTTGTATATTTTGATATGTTTTTCTTAATGAAATTGAGTATCGTTGCTGTAATAAAAAATAAAAATAAAAAACTTGGATTTTCCAATCTCACTATCCTTGTATTGAACTGCTTCAAAAGCCTTCACTGAAATGTAATGGTTTAGAAGTAGTAGCCTAAAAGAATGATTGTTTAATGGTTTTCTACGTTGTCCTAACTCCTAAAATAAACCTCAATTCATGAGTCACTAATAGATTACAGGTTCGAGTCATACTAAAGGTAAGTGAGGAACTACTATTAATCCTCTAAAAAAAAAACTGCCATGAGATTTCCCACACATTTGCTAATTGCAGCTTTTTAAAGTGCAAAGAGAGCATTAACGAAACTTCATCAATTTCAAAACATTGCAAAATGGGGAGTGGCTGCATATTTGTTAGAGATGCGGATAAAGCCCAACTTAATAAAGAATTCTCTCTCTAAATATCATTGCCTTGATCCTAGGGTGTAATCGGAACGTAACAGAAGCAATATAGGAATGCATAATAAGAAACACAAAGTATAAAACTCAAATTGCAGCAGCAACAATGTTACAGTTGTAAACGAGGCACCTACAGAAAAGCTGCGCAAATATAAAGCCTTGGGAACAATTAGGAACAACGAATGGATAATTCGAGCAGTTAAGAAATCTATATTGCAGAAATACAAAGCCTTTCCGCAAAATGAAATGTTGCAGCACGAACAATTCTTCCACAGAAGAAAAACTCTAGGTTCCTATAAAGCTAAAACACAAGAACTTACTATCCATCTCTATGCTCCATCAGGAAGAAAATTAGCCCAACAGCAAAAGTGACCACATTTTAAAAGTAATCACATTAGTTAGTTTGCTCACCTACTTGCTAGGCAGACTTAAGACAACGAAGACTAACTATGAGAAGTAGCTATCCAATCGGAGATATTAAAAAATGAAGCACTTTCTGAAAATAATTAAAAATGGACATGTTCAGAAAGAATGTATGTAGAAGGATTATATTTGCAGAGTATAACAAGTACCTTTCTAAGAAATTGTCATAAAAATTTTTGGTCAGCAAGCAATGCTTGAACAAGGGTCTATGGACACATGTCAAAAGTCCAATTGGAACCATCAATGAAGACCTTGAAGTCATCATGCCCAAAATCGAGTTTTTCTGCCATAAGGGTTTTAACTGATTCTTGAATAGAAGGTCGGCAGAAATGTATATCAATCACCTCCAATGTCTCAATAGCCGCAAAATCAGAGGGAATTTCCTCCAGCTGTCTGCATTTTTGCACCACTAGCCTTTCAAGCTCAGGCAGGTGATCGCTGGAGGCGTTCCATTGGGCTAGATTCACATTATCAAGCTTTAAGTACTTGAGTTTAAGAAACTCCCCTTCACTCATGTTCCATATTTTACCCTCAAAAGATCTAGACAGTAATTTGAGAACCTCCAGGTTGGGCAGCTTTCCTACTTCTGAAATTCGATCCCAAGGTAAACGAAATTGCTCCAGAGTTAGCTTCTTAAGATTCAGGGGGAGCTGAAGATTTCTTGAATGAGCAATCCTACCAGAGTAATACACTTTGAGTGACTCAAGCTCCATCAGAAACTGCAGGCCTGAGAACTCATTGCTGTCACCAGTACCATCCTGTGATTGTGCAAATACACATCTGAGTTTCTGAAGTTTGGGCAACATCCTCATGATCTTCTCCGTGTCACATCCATAAAGATATGGGTTGGAAAGACTAATAAGATTATGCAGAGGAAAACGAAAGAAATCACCAAAGCAACAGTCTTCCCAACTCATACAAGCATAATTTTTCACATGAATATGCCTCAACTTTACCATGCTCCAGATTGCATTTGGTAGTGCAACCTTACCTTTCAATCCTTTCACAATTAAGGTTTCAAGGTTGCAAAGGTTGGCAACTGATGCAGGAATCGAGTCTATATCACCGCAAACTGACAAGAACCTCAAATGAACCAAATTTTCAATATTAGTTGGAAAAGAATTACCCAAATTGATGCATTCTAAATCCAGAACCCGAAGAAGTTTGAAATTGAGTGGAATGAAGGAGATATCATATGGACATCTTGGGTAGGTATCAGTGGAAGCAAAGAAAAGGAGGGAGCGAAGTTGTTCACCTGACGGCCTTAACATAACAAAATGATTCCTCTTGGAATAGATGGATAACCTTGCTGTTTTGTATGTTATCGAACTTGCTGGATAAGAATAACTCAAATCAACACCGTAATCCAAATCTTCAAATGAAGAACTAAAATGTTGATCATATCCATCAACTGACAACAGGAAGTTGTCTTCTTTACACTTCGCCAAGCACATTGCATGCAGCAGATCATGAACACGGCATGTTTTAACGCCTCCTCTGGAACTTCTTTTTGAAGCCATAACTAAGCTTCTACCAATTAGATCTTTAAGGTATTCATCTGCAACATCATCCAAGCTCTTCATAAAGGTCTTTTTGATGAATCCCTCGGCTATCCATAAACTTCTTAACTTCCAAACTGGAATTTCTTGGTCAGCCAAGAAGGCTCCAACATATAGAAAACACGGCTTCAAATGATTTGGCAAATGCTTGAAGCTCAGCTCTAGGATGTCCATGCACCTTGTTTCCGCACTATCAACAATTTTTGCAGTTAAGCTTTCTGCAACTTGATTCCACCAATCTTGTGTCTTCTCTGTCCTTTGAAGGAGACCAGATATCGCAACAATTGCTAGAGGTAGTCCTTTACAGCTTCTCACAATTTCCTTTCCTACTTCCATTAGTCCATCAGGGCAATCTTGGGATTGAAACAACTTCTTCTGCAACAGCTCCCAACTTTCATCCTCGGAAAGTAGACGAAGGTGATGAGGAACGCTACCAGGCGCAACTTTCGAAGCCACGTCTGGGAGACGAGAGGTGATCAATATTCTGCTTCCGTTGTTGTCATCAGGTAATGAAAGTAGCAAATCATTCCATGGCTGAATGCTCCACAAATCATCAAAAACTATGAGGTATCTTCTTTGCTTCAGGCATTGGTACAACTTGAAATCTAAGTCATCATCAGTCAGTTCATGAATATCATCATTAAGCTCAATCAGGTTACTCAATAGGTCAAGCAACAACTTTCTTTTCTGATAATTTTGAGATACACAACTCCATGCACGCATATGGAAATGGTGGACAACTGAAGGATCATTGTAAACTCTTTGTGCTAAAGTTGTTTTTCCCAAACCAGGCATGCCAACAATGGAGACAACATCTTGATGTGCTGATCCTGCCATGAGTTTATCAATTATCAATTTAGCCTGATCATGCAGATCAACAACAATTTCACCAACAAAGGGGGCAGAAGTTACAGATGTCACATTTGTTAAAGGCTGCCCAACATTTTTTACGCTGGTGTCAGCCTGATCAGGTGTTTTCTTGGATATCTCCAAAGCATGAACCTTAAGGAGTTTGAGCTCTTCTATCAGATCAGAAAGCCATAATACATGATACCAGACGGCACCACCACTAACCGTGAATGTATCAATGACATATTCTGCCTGGCATGCAACACTTATAATGGCTCTCGCAAGACTTTTCAAATCTGATCCCTCGTCATGCTGCCATTCCACATTCCTGGGGAAATAATTCAAAATATCTTCCATCTCATTGTGGATAACTTCCACGTGATGCATTATAGAGTCAATAGTGGGAATTTTCCCAGCCAACAGCTCCTTCAGGTTTTCTAAAATAAAATCTATAAAATCTAATCCACTATAATTTGGAAAATTACACTGAGATGTCAGTCGAATACGTTTATACCTCTCTGTGATATCAGCTTTGACGCTCATTATCATTTCTACCAAACTGGAGAGCTTGCACTCCAATGTCAGGAGCAGGTTCCCCGGTTCATGAAATGAGTAATAGAGAGATTTAACCTCAATGAGCAGTGCTTTGATGTCTGGTAAGATTAGTATCCCATCCTCGTCTAAGGGACTCATTATGAATGTTCTGATGAATACTAGCCCTTCATAAAATACTTTAACTTTCCCCTCAAGGTGGGAAAATAAGCTGGATTTAGTCTCCAGCAGCTCCATGAAAAATACCTCTATGTTTAGAAAATTGACCTTCAATTGCAATTTATGAATCTCACTCATGGCCACCTTCTGCGTTATTGAAGCCAGGCAAAATGAATCGTACATGAGGCTGGCGTCTCTAGTGAGATCTTCGATATGCATCCAAAGTGCTTCCATTCGCTTAAGATACTTCAATTGATCACATTGGCGTGCATATGGAAGAAACGCTCTAAGGAATCTCAACCCCTCATGAAGAACACAGAGTTGATCCTGCACGGGGATCTTTAATACTGCATTGTGTTTCTGCAGGAGGTTGAAACGATGGGCACTTTCTTGGTCCTTCTGCACCTTTAGTTGTGGCTCAAATTCTATAAGTGCCTCTAGTTCCAAGAGAAGCACCTCTAAGTTCAGAAGGACCATTTTGTGCAACAAATTGAAAAGTGCTAGCCTGGTTTGCTTGGAGACTCTGTCATCACTGGCATAAAGTAAATGCCTAAGAGATCCAAACTCACGAACTACACTCATAGTTTCTTTTAATACCTCCTGGCACATGTCTGTCTCTTTCTTAGAGAAAATCGATGCATCAATGAGGAATGAAACTAGGCCTATCAGTGCCTTTTGAAATATTTTAGTTGCAGCAGATGATGACAAAATTTGTTCTGTTTCAGCCGGGATGAGAAAATTTACTAAGTGGGTAGCGGCTTCTATAGTTTCCCAAGACTTCAAGATTTTGGAAATCCTGAGGACTCTAATAAACATGCCTAACACCCTTGGGGTTGTCGGGGTCAAACTCTTCAACAGATCATTCACAACTGTTTCCTGCTGAACCAAGTCCTGATCCATTTCATTAACTGACCAGGAATACAGATGAGAAGCGGCTTGAACAAGTAAAGCCCCAATGTGATTGAGGAGGTTGCAGTAATCACTGTTGCCATCAAACGAAGTTGGCAGTACATCATTGAGAAACAAATCGAGGGAAAAGTGGGTTTTTGGGAGTGCCTCCAAGCAAGTCTTCAAGGACAACGGCAAGCCCTCCTTTCTCCGGCACAAGAAACTGATGGTCATATCAATAAAATGAGGATTGAAGAACTGGCTCCAGTAACAAAAATGAGTCCAGCGGACGCGGGACTCTGCACGTTGAGAAATCTGGCCAAAAGCTCTAGCAATATTAGGCCTGAAAAGAGGCATGGAATCTTGAAACATTTGAACCACGCGCAACAAGTTCTTGACCCTCCACTTGGTCCCGCCGGCTCTTCCTCTCTTGCAAATTCTTCTGAGATCCAAGGTTGCCCTTTTGAGTACAGCTTTGAAATCCACGAGAGAGCAAAGGATTTGAGCCCTCTGTAGGTCTGCACCATAAGTAAGTGCGGGCAGAAGAGCAAAATGTGGACGCAGAATTTCTAATTCCTCCATGACAAGACGGAGTGAATCCCAACATCCACCACCATCATCGTCGCAGAAATCATCCTTGGAGAACCACATGCTGTAGAATTCCTTTAATACGGAATTAATTCCCAAACAATCATCGACATTAGCCAAAATTTTCTTCACCATCTCCCCACTCTGTCTCTGCTTACTACCAAATTTACCAACAGAATTAACACTATTTATGAGTCCTTGTTAACACCTATAAAAAAACAACATGCATACACTATATTACAACCTAACAACCAGATGAAGATAATGAATACTGAAACACAGCAACAATCAGTTATTGGATTAGTTGGTTTCCAGTTTCCACCCTAATTAAGCTACTAAAATAAGCAGACCAGAAAAATGAAGAATGCTTTATCATTTCACAGAAGAAATGAAGGGAAAAAGAAAGGAAAAAAGAAAAAGAAAAAAAAGAAGCTGAGTAGAACCGTGATACCTTGTTAGCTTTGAAAGAGAAAGAGAACTTGTGTCGCTGTTTGAGTGTTGAGAGACCAGCGCCGACCAGGAGGAATCCAGACAAGGGGATCTTGGTGGGATTAAGGTAAATGAGTCAACGGGTCAAAAATGTCGACCCTTTTTCAGTCTTAGTACTCCAATAAAAATTTTTAAAAAATGAAAATTTATAAAATAAATCCATTCTTAAATTGGAAAGCTATTAAGGTGCTGTAGACGGTGGAGTGGAGTCCTCGTCATTTCAAAATCCAACAAGAATTTTAAAACTCAATTAAGCTCCGGTAAATAATTTTTTTTCGCTAAACCTAACTTTTTTAACTTCGCACAGATTATAAAAAAGACTAAAATATCATTAAATTCTAAATTCTCACGCATTTCCCTCTTTATACTTTTTTTTGCTTATTTTTTATATCGATTCTTTTTCTCGAGGCGATTATTTCTTTATTTTGCAAAATAATTATATAATTTGAATTTTTATTATTTCGAAACAAGGTGAAGCAGTTTAAACTTTGCGGTGTTTCTCAAAAAAATGCTCCTGGACAAAGAGTAGATATATTAGGCTCCCTTGCAGTAGGTGGACATTTTCTAGGCATATCGGATTCTGAATATCCGATTTCTTAATTGAATTTGTAAGTCGGATTCCGTAAATCCGATTTACTTTATCTATTAAAATATTATTTTATTGTAATTTTAATATTATTTTCCTGTAATTTCAAAAAGATAGAAAATAAAAAACAAAAATCGGATTTCAAGTATCTGATTTTATTAAACCTTTATAAAAATAAATAAAAAAACAAATCGAACTTCTAGCTGTTATGCGCGGGAAATTTTTGAATGCAAATCTAATTTATATTTATTATGATAAATGGAGGTGGGCGAAAATAATAAATACTAATGGATTCTGAAAATCCGACTTAACTAAAATCGGATTCCTAGAATCCGGTTTTATTTTTAAATCGTATTTCTGAAATCCGGCTTCTTTGAAATCGGATTTTGCCTTTCCGTTTTTGTTTTAAATCGGATTTCTGAAATCAGGTATGTTTTTATTATCAAAGAGTGGAAAACGGGTTTCACTGTTCACATGATGAAATTTTGTTGGGTTTTTTGTTCAAGAGGGTTCTTTGGGCGGCAAATTGGGAATCTTCTCCAAGGATTATCAGAAGTAAAGTCTTGAATTGTCATCAAAAGGAGGTTAGTGATGATTCTTATGGTTTTTGAATAGAATGAGTGATGTTTTATGTGATAAACAATGGTTTTCATAGAACCATTGTTTATAGACTTAGAAAATTTTGATTTTTTACCATTTTGTATACAAAATGTGATGTTTTATGCAAAATGTTATGGTTGATTTGAGAATGTATGGATATGCACGTGTGTTGAAGATGATGAATTTCAAACTTTGTGTATTTTTGAGATTTTAGCGTGTTGTTTCTTTGTATTTAGGGTTTAGGTTTATTCGGTTAAAATTGTTCATAACATTTGACAAATGATTGTTTTTTTAATCAACAGATGTAAATAGCGTTTAACGGTCTATACATTCTGAATGTGTTTTGGGCGAGTAAGTTTGTTATAGAGAATGAAGTTATTAATACTTTTAATAACTTGGCGGATGCATCTATGGTGATTGAGCGAAGATTGTTTTACAATGAATTGGTTAGGAGGATTTGTGAAAGAGCTAGGTGGGATAGAGACATTGGGAAATTGAACATGTCACTATTGTTTGATAGTAGCGGTAACGGGTCAAGGCGTTACGCTACAATCAAGGACGAACCATCTTTAGAAGTCCTGTTTTTTCTTTCTGGAAGTGCATGGTTGGATTTTTATGTGTATACAAAGGATATTACTCATTCTGAGAGGGCATGGAACCCGACAGGCAATGCGCATGGTAGTGGTTCACGCTGAATGGGCATGGGTACTTCTCGGTCCAATGATGAAGCAGGGACTAGTCGGGATGGGTCGTTGTTTCAAAATCCAGCTAATGAGGATTGTATGGAAGACCACAGTGATCCGGGCTACGAGTACCCTGCTAATGAGGATTATATGTATTATACTGATCCGAATGATTTGGACTACACATTAGAGAGTGGTGAAAGCGAGGAAGGGCGTTCAGTGTCTTCAGAAAGTGATAATAACGGTTATGAATCCGAGGAGTTTGAAGAAGAAGAAGTATTAACTTCCGTACCAGGGCAGCGCAAATATAGCGAAATGGGAAAATGGGATCCGTCCAGTATTGACAGAGATGAATTCAGTCTTCCTAAGTGGGATGGGACACCCGATTCCATAAAGTTAGGCACTTGCTTCAAGAATAAGAAAGAAGTATAGGACGCTATAAAGGCGTGGAGTGTTTCAAGACAGAGGGAGTATATGGTTAATGATAGTGACCGGAGAACGTGGGCTGTGGAGTGCAAATCTTTAAAACACCCTCATGTTGAAGGTTGTACTCCATGTTTGTGGCAGATGCGTGCCTCGTTGAAGGACCACGAGTTGTGGGAAATGGTGAAATGGAGCAATGTACACAATTGTTTGAACGCCACCAAAAAGAATAATCATCGGAATGTGAGTGCTTCATTCATTGCTCAACTCATCAGGTATAAGGTTAAAGTCGACACGGATTATAGTGTCGCGTCAGTTCAAGTCCATGTGAAAGAGATGTTAGATGTGGATGTTTATTACAAGAGGGTATGGGGCGGAAGGCAAAAAACAACCGAGCTTGTTTATGGCGATTGGGTATCAAACTTTGTGTATTTTCTAAGGTATTGTTTTTTTTTTTTTGTGTGTGTGTTTATGCATATGTTTGTTTGTTAAGATTGTTTGGTTGTGTGTCATTGACTACATTCGGTTTTATTTATCGTTTAGGTACTTCGCAGCACTTGTAAAGAGCAATCCGGGCATAGTGGTAGAGCAAGAGTGGCAAAAAGATTGGACCCAGAAAGAAAGGACATAAAAATATGTCTTTTGGGCATTTAAACCTACTATTGATACGTTTTGGAAATGCCCCCCGGTTGTTAGTATTGATGGTACGCACTTGCGTGGAGGCTACGAGGGGAAGTTACTTGCCGCGATGGTCAAGACCGCGAATAAATGTATATTGCCAATCGCGTTTGTGCTCGTAGATGAGGAGCCCGAGGAAAGCTGGACGTTCTTCTTGAAACATTTGAGACATCGGGTCGTGAAGGATAGAGTTGTTTGTATTATATCCGACCGGCACAAAGGCATCATCGCTGCGATGACCCATATGGAAGAATGGAACAAACCTGGTCAAACTTATCACAGGTTTTGTCTTCAACACATCCGCAACAACTTGGTAGCTACATTCAAAAGCAAGAGAATCCGGCGGTTGTCTTGGGAAATGAGCGAAAAGCTTTCATTAAGAAAATTTAAAGAACACAAGCAAGAGTCGCGTCAATTCAATGTGAAAGCCCATCGCTATATTCAAGAAATTGATCTATGCCAATGGACTCTTGTAAAGGATGGATACCATCGTTGGGGTAATTTGACGACGAACATATATGAGAGTTATAACAATGTACTCAAAGGTGTCCATTTCCTCCCTATTAGAGCATTGGTGGAAGCAACTTTTCACAAAATTGTGCTTTTGTTCCTGGAAGAATATGAAGCATCGTTAAAATGCATCACTCTGGTCTCTACAGAGCTGTGGGAGGACTTTGTGAAATATGAGAAGAGAGCCACAAGTCACAAAGTTGATAGTTATCCGAATACTAAGTTCAAGGTGACAACAAAAATGCGGTTAGGCGGTAAGGGTGGCAACATGCAAACAGTGAGATATCAACAGAAAAAATGTTCTTGCAAGAAGTGGCAAGAGTATAGGATGCCTTGCTCACACGCACTAGCTGTGTGCCGTGACATCGGAGATCAACCAATCAATCTAGTGGATCCACATTACAGGACAGTGGCATAGCATGAACAATTTAGCGGTCGGGCAAACTTTACTCCGGTCCCCAATGAGAAAGAATGGCCTCAGGCACGTTAGAACCTCATCCTAGATTATGAACTGATCATCATGAATGCAGGACCAGGGCAGAAGCAAAAAACGAGGTTGAAAATGCAAATGGATTACAAAGGATGCAAATCACGAGGAGAATGTACCCGATGTGGCTCTCAAGATGATGTTGTATCTGCGTGTCCAAAATCCCACCGCCGAGCTAATAGAACCAGAATCAATATCAATTGGGATGCAGATGGTGTCATTAGTGACTAGTTATGTAGTAGTTATTATCAAATTCCAGTTGTTGTGGTTATTTTTGTTGTATTAGTTATTGTCAATCCGGTGTTCCACTCGTCGACTCTGTAATCCGGCAATCCAATCGACCTCCTTCTCCTTTCCCGGTGTTCCCCTCAAAGACTCTGCAATTCGGCGACTCCTCTTCGAGTCCTCTCCGGCAATCCGACGTGTGTTTCTCTTCACCGGTGGCAGATTCCTTTTGGATTCATTGTAAGTGCAATGCTCAGTTGCTTAAACTTTCAGTACTTCATTCTGATAATTGATTATAAGTGTTGATGTTATAGAATTGAATCGTGGCTACTCATTCTGTCTGCAATGTATCTATGTTAGTCATTGTGCAATTTGATTGCACTTAAGTATTGCTTGATTGTGTAATATTGCCAATTATTGAACTTGTATTGGTTTACTCTGTTGGATTGCGTTTTCTTTTGTTTTTTCCATTTTCCTTATAGTTGTTTGTTGTTTTGCATGTAAATTCAACTCGAAGAAAATAGGAACATTATGATTGCCAAGTATTAGACTATACATCAGTTCTTATATTTCATTGCCAAGTAATGGAAAGTTTGTATCTGGACTAATTAGTTGCCACAATCGTAACTGTAAACTATATTGACTTTTGTGTATTTGGTTGCACGGTCCTGTCATGTAGCTTATTATCCTTACTTTTTGTTTCCAACTTGTGAGTTTTCCGTTTGCAAGGACGTCATGTTTTGCATTCTGACTTAGTTGTGCCCTGTCATTGGCTGCCAATTCAGAGTTATATTCTCTGTTTTTTGTTCCTCTTTATTTGACCAAACTTATAGCTTGTGAAATGGCTTTGTTTTAGATTCTGTGTAAAGTCATATATTGTGAAGTTGAGCTATGGAATAGTAGTTTTTATTGAATTTATGTAGGTGTAGGAATATGGCGAGTTCATCCTCACAACACACTCGAAAATATCTTGAACCGGGTCCGGTTAATAAGGAGTTGTTATATATGCAAGATTACCAAAGGTCTAAAGCCGTCTTTGAAGATATAGCTCCAAAAATTAGGTCAAAAAGGTTGAAATGTAGGAGATTTGATTACCAATTCTGGGAGGCTGTAAAAGACGTCCCTAAACCTGTAATAGATAGAATTACCCGAGCCGGTTTTGGGGGGATCTTGAAAATTGGAGAAATTACCCTTGACCATGCAATAATAACTGCCTCGGTGGAACGATGGCGTCCTGAGACCCACACGTTCCACTTCTATATTGGCGAGGCCACAATCACCCTCCTAGATGCTGAGGTGTTTTTTGGGCTCCGCGTGGATGGTCCCGCCGTCTTGGGAAGAACAATCAGTTTTGATAGGGCTCAATGGATTGAATATTGTTACAATTTATGTGGTTTTGCTCCTAGCGCTACCCATTTCAAACGTTATAAGATATATGCGGAACCACTTGAAACCGAGCTGAAACGCAAAATGCCAGCATACTTACCTGATGATGATGAAGCTTACGACAAGAGGGCTCGGGATTTTATTCTATATTTATTGGCTTCCTTCTTGTTCGCAGATAAAAGTAGAAACATGACATCTCTGTGCTATTTAATACACATTGAGGATTTAGAGTCAGCAGTCTTGGAGTTTTTGTATAATGGCATGTGTAATGCACGTCAATTCGGCCATAATGACATGAGCGGCTGGGCTGTATTGGTGCAGGTATGCTTTGGTATTTTGATTTTGATTTTTTTTAGCTATTGTCATTCTTAAATTTAGTGTTGTTAACTGTTACAGGTTTGGGCTTGGGAGCGCATTCCAAGGATTCAACCCATCAGGAACGTCGTGCCTCCTAATCCTATTATGGATCCAGAAGCGCCATTAGCTCATAGGTAAAGCATTTTCACGTGAAAATTTCTTGTATTTAACTTTTTATTTAATTTTTTTTTTCTATTTCCTCACAACCACATGTATCTTGTGTCTAAATAGGTGGAATTGCCCGCTCTCTTATGCAAATGCCCCCAAGGGCGGTTTATCACCGATCAGGGATCAATTGCTCTTATAAAGGATGGTGATGTAAGTATTTTTTTCTCATTGTCATGTATTAATTTTTTATTTATTTTTTTCGTTGTTATTTTTTCTAAACTAACTCTGGGATGTTTGGTGCATGGTTTTATTTTTATGGATTTCGGTTTCTTAGTTGATTTGTGTGGGTTGCGTGATACTGAAAAGGATTATTTATTGTTATTTATATGAGATACTATTATTTTATGAAACGCTTTGCTCGCCATTAGTCTTCCTCACAGGGCTGCCTTTTTTAGTTGGAAGAGTTTGCTTTGTTCTATATTCAGTCATTTTATGCTATTAGCGTTGCCTATTGATTTTTGCATTTAAGACATGCTTGTTGTTTTTCATTTTATGCAGTTTTTGTGGGTATCTTATACTCCTTTTCTCGAGAAACTTCCCGCTTTCTATAAGCGGGGCAGTCATGTTTGGAAAACGAGGATTTAAATTTTCTTCCAATCCGTTAGGGAACCTCATGAGCCCAACCGAGTTTTGCAGCAGTTTAATTGTTGGCAAACTCAACCTCAGAACCCATTGATCAGTCGTGATATTAAGGTTTGGAGGGCTATACACAAAGGAAATAAGGGGACTTGGAAATCAGGCAAGGGATGGAAGGCATTTCATGATGATGTCAACCCGCATTGGGATAATAGGATATCTAATATGGTAGAAGGTAAAGAAATAACAGAGGGCCTGCAGCCTCAATCTGTCACTGATTACCTCCCTTGGTTTCATAGGCAAATTGTGATACTCATCAGTGATCCGGAGAAATATGGGTACGGGACTCAGGGCTATTAGCCATCTTCAGCACGCGAAATTTTATATATAAGCATTTCAATTAATTTTACTTATTAATAACTTATATTTATTTTTTATTACTAACCAAATAAATAAAAATTTCATATCACCTTTTCATTTTTGTAGGCCGACACCCTCAACGATATTTATCACATTGTTGATAAGTATTGTACCAAGTACCCGACCAGAGACCATGCCCTTAATGCAATGATTGAGGAGGTACTCAATAGCTCCTTAACTGCCTTGACTATTGGTCCTGACGCTTTGAACACGGTGTCTAGTCAGAGACTTGTAGAAAGTCAACCGACTCTATCCCAACAGCCGCAACCCTCTCCAAAGAAAGCTCCCAAAAAGAACATTGGAGGTGGAAGAAAGAAACACATGCCTCGTCCCTTACAAACCGACTATGGCCAATCAAGCGCGGATCGGAGAATTGTTCCATTTTGTGATCCTACGATAGTCGATGAGAAAGGACATGTGGTTTCGTTTTGTGCTATTTTGTGTTGATTTTTTTGGTAAAGTCTGGTTTCCTGCTGTTTGGTACAGGTTTAGACTGGCTAAAATGAAACCCACTTTTTTTTAAAAATGTTCTGTTTAAATTCGGATTCTGAAAATCTGATTTATGTCTCCAGGCAGAAATCGGATTCTAGACATCCGATTTCATGTAAAACGGATTTTCTAATTCCGATTTATAAATTTTTTTATTTCTCGAAGTAATTTTAAATTCCTTTCTTAAAATAATATTTTATTGCTTGAAAATTGGATTCCTGAAATCCGATTTAATGCCAAAATGTTATTAAAATATGATTAGTTTCTAATCTAATGAAAGTCGGATTTAAAGAATCTGGTTTATTAGAAAGTCGGATTTCAATAATCCGACATGCCCATTTCTGGCAACTCCGCCTCCCGATGCCTAGATCTGTCTTCTCAGGTTTGGGGAGTATTTTTTTCGGCAAAAACTCTTAAACTTTGAGGTAGTTGAGGGCTAAACAGTTTTCACTTGATGTTGGTATGCATTTTAGAAAAGCAATGATAGAGATAGTGATTAATTATAGTGAAAATGTATAGTGACTAATGAAAAAACAAATACACCACATTTACTAAATAAACTACTAATTAATGAAGGATAAAAATATAATTTTACGAGAAAGATATAATTTCAACGGTTAAGTAACTACAAAATAGAGGGCTATAATTACTATACATCAGTCACTATATTTTCTTACTATTTTTTATCACTACTATATATATCATTTCTTCTCTTTCTAGGAATTTTAATCAACAGACTCAATTCAACCTCGCACTGTAATCCTCATTAGTAATGGCTTTTGCTTTTGTAGAAACTTTAAGACGATGTGATGCTGACGGGGAATTAGGAGGAGGGATTAGAGGGGATTTTTGGAACAGAATCAGGGAGGATTAGAAAAGATATATAAACTCTAACCGGGTGAAAAGATTAATCGAATTGGGGAACAAAGGGGGTGAGGATCACCTGTGACACAAATTGTGTGCCACTCCCTGTGACACTCCACCACAGGCTGACACCTGTATCAAATTTAATTCTCATTCCCGTCAAGTAAACGTTCATTAACGGAGTAAATTAATAATTAATTAAGTAAAAAAAATGTCACCAAAACCATTGATAAATTGCAGCCCCAAGGCCACCAACTCACAAATTTCATTGCTCCCCTCAAACCGATTCAATTCTTTTTTTGTTGAATGTTTTGTTTTTCTGAATCAATGGCCAATACAATTACTTGTAGTTCCATAAGAAGAGATTCCAATCAGATTTAAACCTTGGAGGATGATCTGTTACAACAACTGGTTCAGAAGCATGGTCCCAGAATGGTCTTTGATTAGCAAATCCATTCCGGGCAGATCTAGCAAGTCTTGTCGGTTGCGGTGGTGTAATCATTCATTGTGAATCCGGCAAGTCTCAGCCCACAAGCCCGTTGGATTCTCCTTTTGTCAGAAAATCCATTCCTAGTGAATTCCGCTCACGTGCCAACCAAATTTAAGAAAGAGAACAAGCGCCGCTTCCCCATAAATCTAGAGGAGGTTCCAAATCTCCGAGACTAAATTTCTCTTCTGCTCAAGATGCTGAATTCTAAATCCTTGATCATCATCATCATCAAAAGGGACATCATCATAATCTTCCTCTTCGTACGTCTTTCGAACAAAATCACAAACAAAATTGGATTGTGGCCGAAACTCCATCAACCAATGAAGAGTACTTCAAATCTCTTGCAACACTTAGGGTTTGAGAATCTTCAGTTAAATTGATAATTGGGAGATAGGAGTAGATCTGAGGAGAATAGGGCGGCGTTCTTTTTCTTAAGAACTTCTTTCTAATAGTTTAATTAATTACTAATTTACTTAGTTATCAATTTTTAACTTGACAGGAAGTGTGAATTAAAATTGGGACAGGTGAATTGTCACAGGGAGTGGCACACACTTGTGTCACAGGAGACCCTCACCCGAAGAAAGGAGGAGTTGGGAGGAAGGACAGAATTCAGATTAATTCAATTCATTCATACACATTATAGTCAGTCTGCCATATTTATGCCTTCAAAATGTCGTAAAATATATTACACATTAACCCCTGGTAAAAATGTAAGTACTTAAATCTAATTATATTTAACCCGTTGCTAATGGAGCTTGGTTGAACCTTTGATGTGCGCAGGCTCAAGTGGAAGCTCCTAAAGCCTAGGCCCCAGATTATTAGGGCGGCATCCCAAAATCATTGTTCAATTTATATTTTTAGTTTTAGTACAAATTGAACTAAAAATAAACATTTAAAATGAACAATAATTTGTTAATAGAGGGAGTAACATTTTTTGTTTGGTTTCTTTTTTCCCTGAAAACTATTAATTAGTACTTTTTTTAAAATGATAATATATATCATAAACATCCTTTACTCATCCTAAATCACGGTTACCTTCCATTCTAAGGTGTCCCAAATAATATTTCTCCGGTTATTTTTATATTAAAATAATTTTGTAAGCTTTCAAATGTATCTTCATTGATATTTATCCAAATCTGTACCTTAGTAATATGATCTTAAAATATCATTTCAAATTTAAATATTTATAGACGATGCACCGGCATAATTTTGCTTGGTCGCTGCCAATCAAAATTGGTATTGTTATGTGTAGATTTGATGTTTAAAAGAATTAATGTAAATCCGATTAGGCGATTACTAAAGAGATTTACAATTTTGAATCTCAGTTGAGGGTCTCCTTGAGCCTTGCTTGAGCCACCAAGTTGAGAAGCTCCACCCCAACAACTTAAACAAGTAAGACTGGTTTTCCCTTGAAGACCATTTTGATCATTACACACATATTAAAAGGAATCTAGATACTACTAAAAACTAAAAATATGCCAAATCTCCCATCATCAGACTGTGATTCGAGTCTTGGTTTCCAGTTGGCCAATTGATCATATTTAGAAATGGCCAGGACAATTTATCAATGGCTTTATTTTTATCTACATTGGTTTCCCGCCAAAATCCTTCTCCCTTTTTTTTTTATTGGTTTTTTTAAGGTGCAGTAGGATTGATTGCTTAGAACATTAATCTGACTTATATTATATGTGGTCTTCTCCGGGAATGAAGACAGTACCGCATCCATGATATTTTTGGGATAAAAAAAATTTTAATCTTCGGTGTTAGTCCAATGAACACTTCAAACAATACCTTTTTTTTTTTTTTTTTTACTTTGACGATTCTACACATATCATTATAACTTTCAAGGATCAGCTAATAAAACTTGGAGTCTACCATAAATTGCTTCATCGACTGGCAATGAAGAAATATCTACGGCGGGTGGGAGGGACACGCAGCTTCGAACCTCAGCAAACGCCGTGTGATCATCCTCAGATAATCCAACTGGCTTGTTGCAGCATTATATACCGCCTCCTCGAACATTGCTATAGTTCCCTCCCACATTGACAACCCAAATGGACTAGGCAACCTACCGTGATGCTCAACACAAAGCTTCTTAAGTCTTTCAAACACGTTGCGGTTAATGATCTCCCGACGTTGGCGGGGCATCGCAGTCCTCCAATCCGCGGAGGCATCATTGGAGGTAGCAGTTGGGGGCGGAGCAGCCATCCCCAATAATAATGATAGATCAACTGAAGGACAAAATTAAACAGACAAAGAGGATCATCAGGATCTACAACTAATAAAAGACTCAATCACCATACTATTAGTGTATAGAAAAAGTTTGTGCACAAAACAACATTTTCAAATGACCAACCATGTGATTCATCTTAAAGACAGAAATATATATACTCCCCCTGTCCGGAAATTATTGTCTAGTTTGGATTTTCATTTTTAGTACAAATTGAACTAAAGTTAAAATCTAAACTAGTGATCGGGATCGGGATCCTACCATAACCCGGATCGGGATCGGAGAGTCATCCTTAACCACGATATGGGGATTGTGGGGATATTGAGCTATCAAAGTCTGCAACCGCTTAGTGAGGATCGTCAGATACTTCGATCGGCTGGTTGCGGTCACGTACACACTCTCCTCGAACCACGCTAACTCTCCCGCCCAACCTGTCAACTGAGATGATGGAGGCAATCCATGGAAACGAGCCGAATAAGCATCCGTCATCTTGTGCAACACATACGTCTTAATGAGTGCTCGCCCTACATTTTTCACTTTTGTCCTCCAATCGGAAACCGCGACGGTGGTGGTATTTTCAGCAGTTGCCGCCGGAGAATCTATTCCAACAAAGGAAACCTTTTGCGATCACGACTCAACCAGGAAAACCGAGAACCTGATTTTTGTAAAAAAGAGGGGAAGACAAGGAAAGATTCGGTGGTGCGATGTCGTGGCCCTGGGTTTATAATATCATATTCAATATTAAGGGGGCAATTTTGTAATTAAATGATTATTCTAACATTTACAATACCGTATATTGACTCAACAGATTTGTTCTCCCCCTTTTGCTCTATTATCTTCTCTTTCCCAACCCTAATTGCTTCTGTTCTTGATCCTCTTTCTTCTGTTTTCTTCCTCTTATTTCAATTCTTCACAAATTAACCTAATTAAGGATCTCGATCCTGACAATTGATATCAGAGTAGCAATCCTTAGATTGTTAAATATTCCAATTTTCATCGTTATATTATGATTGCATAATGCTCTCTGCGGGCCGTCTAAAAAAAATGCTTCTTCGGTCTTTATTTTAAAATATTTTGATTTTTTTATTTATCTTGTTTATTCAATTGAAAATGAAAATCTAAAAATGTAAAAATATATTTTTAGTTAAAAGAATACAATTAATAAAAATTTTTTTAAAAAAATTAAAATATCTTATAATAATAAGGAGAGAGGAGGAAGAGTCTTGTTTTGCAGCTGACACTTGCCACTTGCTACAGAACCACATTGCCCCATTGAGCACTTTTAGGAATGACCAGGTCAAATTCTTTATCTACTTTGGTTTCCCGCCAAATTCTTTCTTCCTTTTTTTTCTTATTTAGTTTGTCTTTTTTAAGGTTCTTCTATGATGAATTGATGATGGTACTAGGATTTTAATGATTGCTTACAGCATTACTCTGACCTATATGTGTCTTCTTGGAAATGAAGACAGCAAGATGATGTATACGTTATTTACAGCCCACCACTTCACGTAAGATCGATTCTGGGAACTAAAAGAATAAAACAAGTAATCTACAATGGCCCTAATTAACTTGCAACGAGCCTACGCCAGAGACTCATTGCTTCCAATTTCAGGGAATGCGTGCTTAATCAGTTACTACAGTATATTAATTCCCTATTACGCAGCCATGCATGTTGGATTATGATAAAGAGTCCCTTATATAGCTAGCTTGCTTTAAAGTTACCCTGGTTCTTTGATCTTCACGTTTTCTGGCGTTTGAAGACAACCCGTTGATCATGCGACTTGAGGCCTATGTGGAAGGGCAAAGGCTAATTTAGTGAACTTCCATTTACGTTTTTTCTTATTCATATTTCTGTTTCTTCTAACTTTAATCTTGTTACCCGTGTGTTATCATGTTTGGTTAATTATAAGGCAATAATGAACTAAACCTTTCACAAGATGCTCGATTGTGTATGTCATAAATTTTTAATATTAAACTTTTATTTAATTTTTCACTACATTGGTTTACATTGTAAAAATATAATAAAATAAAATAATTTTAGTATCATCATAAATTCACATAATTATATTTTAACCCCAAAAGTGTATGTGGTTATTTACTAATTATTTATCACCATTTTGGATGTTATAATAGTAGTTTCTTTCATTTCCACATTTTCTCCTCTAAAACATTAAGCAATCACATCATTCACTCATTGAATCATTAATTATATCTATATTCATTAAGGAATGTGTTGCGTGCGAAATTATTTGAGATTGTCACATGCTTAGCAAATCATAATCAACTAATGAATCACCAATTAGTCGATTCTTCTCCGTACCGTGAGAAACAATCAATCCACGGTCAATCCCCTTGCAAATTTCAAATCTTATAAATTGAGCTTAAGAGAATGAATATGTGAAACAAACAAATAGAACACCAAATTCAGAAACATTGGTTTGTAAAGATTAAAAGCATGAACGTGTTAGAATATTCAGTGTTGCAAACCGGTCCCATCTTATTCAACCAATCCAAGAGCTTTAAGAGCCCTAATGGCTCTGCATCATCTTCCTCCATGGGATATTTTATCAACAAACGTCCCATACATCACCCAAAATCTCCGGCTCATTTCGTCGTCCTCAACCGGAGAAAGCCGGTGTTTTCCTCAGTTTCAGCAGTCGACAGAAAGGACGACCAATGGGAAACAGTTATTTGTGGTGATGATCATACCATGATGACCAATGAGATTTATTAGGGGCAACCAACAAATGCTGGCGAGTATCATACCATGGTGACCAAATAGAACTTCCTGGAAATCAACACATATTTGATACTGTCTGTCGATTGGTCTGAACTTTGTTTTTCCCTACATCATTCTCACTGCACAGGAAAGAGAAAGAACATGCGTTTAGGGAGTCAACAAATTACCAAAGCAAATGTACATCTCGAGATTGTATTAATTAAGAACCAAAATAGAAGCATGTTTATATCTAGTCATCTACCTTGCGGAGCAAAATGGACTAATCAAATCAACAAGTAAACATATCCTATATGACCATGAATCAAGTTAATGTAGCAGAGTTGGGCTCAAGATCATCATGTCAACTGAAAAATACTCTATTTTACAACTTACAATCTGTCTCTTCTGAAATAGTATCACCAAGTTTTTTGAACCCTTTCATCAAACAGTTTTTCAGCAACTTCGACAAAACTAGTATATTCATTACACTCTGTTCTTAAGCAACTACGACCAAACTAGTATATTCATTAAACTCTGCTGTCCAAAAAGATCAATTTTTCCTTATTTGGCTAATCACAAATGTAATCTAACACTGTACTGGGGATCCAAAATTCTTCTCACCGAAGTGTAAAGAAATGACAATAATTGAACTTTAAACACGAAAGGTATTACCTTTTAGGCACGATTAATTCTTGTTTGATTAAATCAGATTTAATTCTTTTGGACGGATTGTTAATCAATAACCCCTGAATACTTTCGGCTCCATCACCCAGCAACAACTGCTCTGCAGGATTAACAACGCCACCACAAGGGGGTGCAACAGTTTCTACATCTCCATACGTTGCCTGGTAAAAATCTGCCATACTAACTCCAAACTCATCCCCTGTTTCCGGCTGAAATAGCATGGATTGGAACCCAAGATCAAACCCTTTAAACTCTGTATTCGGAATATTCACAACGGAAGAAGGATCCTTATTAGATCCACCGGAGGAGGCAGAGGCAGAGGCAGAGGGAAAGGCAGAGTTTTCACTTGTACTACCACCACTGGCATTAAGGTTTTGAAAGATGGCTAACTGATTGAGATAAAAACTCAACTCTGCCTTACAAAATTGGATCTCTTTTTGAAGCCTATCGATGATTTGATAACAGCCGCCAACAGGGTTCTGTGCCCGGATATCGGCCTCGAAAATCATGGTCTTCATGGAAGTCTCCCGTTCATTAGGCTTGACCTGCTTGTAAACCTTCATCATGTTCCTAAGACCAAACAGTTTGTGGGCATTAAGGAACTGTTTCTGGTGGTCGGGTGGGAAATACGGAGCCAGAGCACAACCCGGGGTGCATCTCCGGCGTTGATACTTGCATGCTGCACACGCCCTCGTCTCATTAGTGGCAGAAGCGACAGTATTGGTAACTGCGGAAGAGGGTTTTTTGTCTGCATCACCATCAGCGTCGGGATTTATGGGAAAATCGCGGTGGATTTTAGGCGGTTCAGAAGGGTGGTTGATTGTGGGTTTTTTAGGGTCGTGAATTTGGCCGTCGTGAGACTGAGTCATCATGACTCATGTCATGTGGTTGGGAAAAAATTGTAGTGTCGTCGTCTAAAGGGGAGAAATCTTCGCCAAATTTCAGGCAGAGGATGGCTCCTATGTTTTCTCTGGTTTGAGATATAAAAAAGGACGAAAATGGAGGATTTTGAGTTACAGAGAGGTTAGGATTCTGTGTTTTGTGGGAATAAAAAAAGGATATGGATGGGGACGTGTAGAGAAACTTGCGGTAGTTTTTCTTTCTGTTTTTTTTTTTTTTTGATTTGGTAAAGTGGGAAAAGAATTATGATTAAGAGATGATGGAGATAATGGAGGCTAAAATGAAATATGGAAAATATTTGCTTTCTCTTATTTACATTTTTCTGTTCATTTCATTTTTGTTTGAGTTAATTTTCTAATTGACATCAAGTCGACAACCCCTAATTGATACTATGATTTTTACTTGATACAATTAAGGTTGAATTATGTTAGGAGAATTTGAGATCTGTAGGCAGTACAATTGAAATTAACGTTGTCGTGTTGATTAATGATCCTGGTCATCCGTCTCAAAGTGTGCCTTAAGATGACATGGCCAAGCGCATTTTGGGGTCTTTAATTTCGTCTCTGGCAAATAAAACTCTTAATACTCCTATTCTGAAATAAATAATCAGTAGAATAAAGTGGACTTTTTTTTAGACGATGGGAGGAATTATATATATATATATATATATATATATAATCATAATACTAGATGTTTGGCCCAGGCAGATGCCCGGGCGCCCCTTCTAAATTACTATTTTATTAAAATCTAATTGAATTACTATTTTTTGAGGAATTAATTTGGCGTATATATCATTTATGCTATGGTTTGTGGCTTAAAAAAATATACCTATAAATATGAGGTTATAAGGGAATAATAAATAATTAGCTTATAATGCATTATTCTTAATTACTGGATTTAGTGTTTTTTATTTTTTGTTTATATTAAGCCTGCAAAACTGTACGATTGGACATTTGAATTTGAATTAATGCATCCATTCGTTTGAAATGTAACTGATTCTTATTTGTAGAATTTTTTTCATTGGATAAGTGTCACATCTAAAACATGTGTTTTTTTTTAAAAAAAGAATTATATAGCTTCTAATTTAAAGAGACTTACATGTGGCAAAAAGACTCCTGAAATCTGAAATATGGTGCATTGGAGGCAAAACAGATGCATACATAATTGCCACATAAGCTTCATGTCTTCTGCTTTAAAAGGGTAAACGGGATATGTAAATAATTAAAACTGATTAGAAATGAATAAATGCCCGGGGCGTCCTCCCACCTAATACATTAATATGTAATTAATCAAAACTGATTAGGAATGAATTTAATTTTTAATGAAGATAATTGATTTGTCGAAAATTAATTTTTTTAAAAATCCTAAATAAGTGGAGAAGGAAAGTTCCATTTACTGTCAAATTCAAAATTTGAATGAACATGGACATCTGATCTCTTTGTTAATATTGTAAATATATTTTTTGTTTTTAAAAGAGGGTGACACGTGGCAGAATGGTTTGTGCAATATGGTGCATTTGGAGCCAAAACCTTTTAATAAGAAATTGCCACATCAGCATCATGTTTCCTGCTTTAATAGGGTAAAAGGGATTTTGAAATGCAACGATAAATTTTGTTTGGAAATAGGTGAATTAGCGAAATTGATATGATTTTGTTTACGAAACAATTTGTGTATGTAAAAAAAGAAGTCCTAGAGTTTCCTCTCTTACTCTGACAATACAAGATTGGTTGCTGCAATTTCACCCTCTCCCCCTTGTTTTCCATGGAACCTAACTGTGAGTAATCCGTGAATTTGTTTAAAATGTTAGAAGAGGTAGAGAAAACTTTGTATGCGTGGCATAATATTGCAAGTAATCATTAAACTTCAATTGACAAATAAGTTTGAAAAATAAATATATGAACAATACTATTATAACTTCATTAAGCATTAGGCTCGCAATGATCAAGATATTTAACTTTAGGGTTTAAGTTCCATTAAAACCTTACTACCCTAGTAGAACCAGAAATTACATTTATTGAGAAAATATATTTAGCCTCTCAAAAGAAATTCGCCACTGACGTCATAGAACATCACAGGGTGAAGGATTTATTACTAACTGATCCAACATCAGTTGGGAAATTCGCCGCTGACTTCTTTTTTGTTTATAAATAATTAATTTTCTCTTCGACCCTAGATATCATGAGTAATGATATGACTCATTACTCTATAATTATTAGCATCACTGTTACTACACCCCCAAAGATCGGAAAAATCGCCAATTGGCTGGGAATACCCTAAACCCCCAAAGATCGCCAATTGGTCTCAAAAACCCAGATCAAAAACAATTTGTCCGCGTTCAAAAACAGCCGTTGGCGTTAGGGCGTAAAATCTAAAATGTGAAGAGGGCAAACCCAGAGGGGATTTTCTGCGTTGATATCGGCATGCTTCTTAGTAGTTATAATTACATGCCGGTGCCAATATCAAATATGAAATATGCATGTTTGTTTGTACAGTTTAGAAATGCAGTGCCAATATCTTCTTCTTCTTTGGTTTTTTTTTTTTCGTTTCCTTGAATCTTCGAGAGAGATGATGATCTTCAATGCTATTACTTCAATTTACTCATTTTTAGGTAGCAAATTAATCAGTTACTCGTTAATTTGTCCCAATGACAAGTTCATTGTGTTTAACTAAATTGCTATAGTGACGAAGTGGAGGAGCAAAAAATAGGGGAGAATTAGGGAATGTTGTATAGTGTTGAATTAGGGAATGTTGTATAGTGTTTTCCGTGCATGTGCACAAGACCATAATTTTGCATAATTAGGGAATTAGGGAAATATAGGGAATTAATATTTAACCGTAATTTTGCATCACAATTTTCTGCATCACAGATTTGCATAGAAGAAGATCTAGTGATTTGCATGGAAGCTGTTTTCCAGTCACGTGAGGGAGCTAAAACAAACAAAAAGAAAAATCATTACCTATTTCGTGAGTATAATACAATAATAGATAATACGTTAATTAGTACTATCATAAAACGAATGGCTATCAACAATGGGCAATGGCGCCTTGGTGGGGAATTCAGTCTCCATAATCAGCACATTCTTAGCGATTGTGGTCATGTATTCCGGCTCGCTGTTTGCTTCCCTATATATCTTTTCCTCCAAGTCCGTCATGATTTGTTTCCAACTTGACAAGACCTTTGCTCCAGGCAACCAATGGTGATGTTGAACAAAAATTCTCATCGACTTCTCAAATAGCTCGTCCTTAACCCTCTCCCGACCTCCGGGTTGAATCTGTGTCCTCCAGTCGGAAGCTATGGCGGCGGTAGTTGGCGACGGAGAACCCATCCCTGCTCTTGGCATAGAAAACAAGGGAGAGGAAGTATGGAAAATTTTAGGAGTGCGGAAAAACAACGTGTATACGTGAAAACAATTATAAATGTAGAGAATTTAAGCAAATAGATATGTACATACAAATGTAGTTATGATTATAAGAATTGTTAATCTGACTAAAAAGTTTGTTACATAATATTGAAATATCATCTCTTTATATAGAGGTTTTGTATGGCTTGATAACGTTCTATCCATGATGGGATTCAGATTAATTATGGCTACCTTGTGACTAATTAACATTCTCTATTCAAGATGGGAATGAGATTAAGGTTATGAAAGCATGTTACTTATAATATCGATTAATAATAAAGGCATTTCACAACCCTTTTTGGAGCAAGATAGATAGATAAAAGATCACATAAGTTGCAAAGTTCATCTCCAAGAATTATATATATATATATATATATATATATGGCCCAATCAACAGCTGAAATCAGCTATACATGAATTGATGATAGATTAATTGTTTTTAGTTCCAGAATCTATCAGCAAATAAATTCTGGATCCTGCTCATTATTTAGATCAATGTTTCGTGTCCCAAGTGCTTACTATACATGTTGCCTTTTGTTGGGGGTTGATTCCTTCTTGTCAATTTTTGACTCTTTTGTTGTTTGATTACGATGATATTTGTGATCATTTGCAATTTCTCTTTAAAGGTTAAACTCGGTTTATACATGTGAAATCTATCTATAAAAATAAATTAACACAAGATTCTAATAAAATTATTCTTTAGTTTTGTATATATCAATGATCTTAAGTGTATTTGAAATATTCAGTGCCAGTTTTAAACTCGACATTATGGACTGTAATTTTTGAATTTAAATAACAACAACATGAGCTAAAGACATTTGACAGTTTTTTGGTTTTGTAATTTGTCTTAAATGTGTTAAAAGAAATGTGAAGAATTTTGTTTCCAAGGTTTGTACCTACAAATGTATTGTTGTTGATGATCGCAAGTCTTGAGTAAGAACAATATAGTTGGTTTTTAAGAAACTCATCAGGAATTAAAGTGAAGGTGATATACAACATACAAAAAACTTAGAAAAATGAAGATAGAACAGGGAAGGTTTTTTTAGTGACCTTGGATCATGTATTGGTCAAGTTCTATCAAACTTTTGGTTATATGTTGGTATATTTTTGTATAGATGCCTAACGAACTTTTAGTTTCAGTTTTGATTAGTTTTATTCTTTAATAAATATTTTTTTTTGAAAAAAAGTGAGAGTCCTTGATTACCATTATTACATGATTATTGCTCTTATCCTAATTATAATAACATGATTTTATAAGCGTGAATTTTTATATCTCGCACATTGTGTGGGTAATAATAATAATTATTATTATATGTACTAGTATATATACATCTGCAACTCAATTTACAAAATGATGATCTTTGTTGTTTGCAGATGTCGAGTGGGTTTGAGGGCTCGTGTGCATTTGTTCAATTGGTCATCTACGCCTGCTATTATCGGTCAACCAAATAGAATATATTAGTATATGTACTATCTTTCGAGTTTGACGATCGCCCCTCTCTATCTCTTCCTAACCTAATCTTACCCATCCCTACTCCGCTTGTTCTTAAATTACGTTTATTCATCACACTTTTTTTTTTTGGTATCTAGTATCTAGTATGCGACAATGTTAAGTCAGAATGGTTGAACATTTTTGAATGTTTTATGACCATGATGCTATCATATAATCTGTCAACAACATATACATTCGATGTGAATCGCACGGGCGTATTGAATAATATTTTCCCGTGTTGCTTTGTCCTAGATAGAGAAATTGGCGTTTAAACACCTCCCTATCGGCCTCAAAACGATGAAGATCATTCCGAAGTTCTTGATTTTCTCGGAGGAGTTCTTCATATACCCCAACTAATCCAGTAATAGGATGTTTCAGCCACATGTCGGCGTCGACTATTCTGGCCTCTATGGCCGCCGATCCTCCCCTAAAAATGCTTACACTGGGACTCAAAATTACCTGCTCCGAACACTCGATTCACTTTACAGAAATTATCCTCTGTTCCAACAGGGAAATGTGGCGCAAAAACAATCAGGATGGCAACTCTTTTTCCGCTCTTTGCAATGGGCACACCAATTGAAGTTTTTCTTGGACTTCTTTTGGGGAGGAAGATCATCTTTATCAGCCATATGTTAAAGAGACAGACCGTGCGTGCAGTGACTTTCTTCTTTCTTTTTAATCTTATTGCAGATTTAAGTATTACTATCTTATTGCAGAGTAAAGACTGTCCCTTTTTTTCCCCTTTTAGTTCCAAATTAGGATTGCAGAACAAAGTTATTTTATAGAGAGATGATGAACTTATTGAATATTAATTAACTCATACAAGTTCGACTCCATGTATCTGTATAAAGTATATATATATATATATATATATATATTCTTTATTTATTGAGCAATATTTCTAAGTATACATGATCATTATTTATTATGTTACTACTAGTACTATTCCCGTGCGTTGCACGGTTTTTAAAAAATATTTTATGTCATTTTCAAATTATTAATTAATAATGATTTATAACCTCATAATTTTTTATTCACAATTTATTTTTTTATAAAAGGGATAAGATTGTAATTTTTTTCAATTGAAAAAGGAATAAGACTTGGAAGACTTGTTAAACATGTTCTCCGAATTTCAAGCTTATGTTTGTCATGTTACTATGAGCTTTTTTCAATTAGACATTTCATGAGTTGTGATATTAATTAGTGTCAGGAGAAAATTATTTTATCCGTAATAATAAAAAAGAAACAGATAATCATACCAAGTAGAGTAAACTGCACTTATGATCTTTTACATTTGTCAAAAACTTAATTTGGTCCTTTTACACTAAAAATTCACTGAATTGGTCCATTACATTTGTCTTTACACTAATTAGTCTTTTTTTTTTACACTTTATATTTGGTGATTCTTGAGTTGACCCATTTATTGGTCACATCATAAGGAATATTTTCTGTAATGTCTAATTTACAAAAGAAATATTTAAAAATTGATTAAAATAATATTAAATGTATTATATTAATTTATAATTAATTTTAAAAATTAAATTTTTTTTTCCAAAATCATATTTCTTTTTCTATCCCATGGGTCCCACATCCAGTATCTTATTCTTGATCTTTTTTATAAGAACTTTTTTCTCCATTCCACCGGTTAAACACTTTCTCTTTCCTACCCTGTCCTGGATGTGTAGAAAAAATGTTAAAAAAATAAGGTTAATAATAAGAACCTAGATGTGTTGGGAATGTTAATCTTCGACACGATACAAAAACACGACTCAAACCTAACACGTAATAAGTGAGTTTAAGGTTGAGCTCTGACGGGTTTGGGTTAAAATCAGATCGAACCCCCGAACACGTTTAATGAAACAAGCAGAACTCATGTTAACCTGCCAAGACCCGTACTGAACCGTTTAACCCGAAATTCGAAATAAGTAATTTAAGGAGTTTTTAGGTAAATATTAAAAACATACTATCTAAACCTTATATATATATATACACTAATATTATCTAGAATATCTATTTTTTAGTAAGTTTTAAACATACTATCATGCTTATGATGTGTTATTTAGTTAGTTTTTTCCCATTAAATTCACAAAAATTAAAAAAAAAATCGCATACTTAATGTTTGTAGACATCTACTTATTGTTTAAGTTATAAGGACTTAGAATTAACTTTATTCAAAACTTTCTTAGTTTTTTTTTTTCAAAAAAAATGTATTTTGTTAATTGCAATATATTAAATTATTTTTCGGGTCATTTCGTGTCGTGTCGAGCTATCCGTGTTATAATCAAATCGTATTCAGGTTCAAAAAATTGATGCGTATAGTTAAACAGGTTGTGTTCAGGTTAGTAAATAAATATTTGGGGATCCGACCCGCGAACATGAAACACGACTCGATTGACACCTCACTGTAGGACCCATCGGATAAAAAAGAATCATATTTTTAAAACTTTTTTTGAATTTTAAAATATTAAATTTTTATTTTTTGATTAATTATAAATCAATATACTATAATTAATATTATTTAAATCTATTTTTGTTTTTTTAATTTTTTGAATATTAAACATTACCAAAAATATTCCTTTTGACTTGACCAATAAATGGTCAACTCGAGAACCACCAAATGTAAAATGTCAAAAAAGTAAAAAGTACTAAATTAGTCTAAAAGACAATGTAATGGAGCAAATCAGTTAAATTTTTTAGTAAATAGAAAGACCCATTTGATTAGTTTACTCAATATCTGGTGTTGTAAATATGATATTCTAAAAAGATTTACTCTCAATCTAACAGAAGTATCATCAATATATCAGTTTCCTAAAATAATTAAATTTATTTACAATTATATTCATAATAAAATTATTAATTATCTAATTAGTTAATGATTAATTATTCTGTAAATATATTCCTTATATTTGCTGATAAGAGTTTGATTAATTTATCTTGTCACATATTGGTATTGTTTTAGTTTTGAAATTTATTGATTGTGCAGATAAATTCCTTATATTGATTAGTAATTATGATAATTTTGTTTGGACGTATTTATAATTCTCGTGCAATTAAAGTACGCAATGATAGAATATGGTAATTATTTTTAACACTGAAATAAAGCAAAAAAAATTATTTAACCAAATTATAATATTTTTTTATAGTTTAATGAAGGAGACTTGTAGAGACGACACCTGTCACAATTGTCCTATACTAACTCACTGAACGACACGTGTCGAGTATAAACTCTCTTTTATATATATATATATATATATATATAATCGTGTTTAGCCCGCACGTTATGCGGGTTGTTCAAAAATAATATTAATGATATCAATTACAATAATTTATTTTTAATGTCAATGTATTATGTTATTTTAAGTACATTGGAATAGCTTTCAATATTCAAAATCATCCAATGTAATTTATTGTCCAACTTTTTTATTTTGTTAAT